TCAGAAAGCACTTCAGATGTTAATGGACAAAGAGATACTGAAAGTCACATCTTTTCTGCAGTAGGGTGAAATGAAGGCAGGGTCAGGCTTTGAACAGGAAAATAGCTGGGGGTGCAACGGTTGGGCAGACCCTTCCCCATGAAGCTTCTACAGCTATTTTTTAAAAAAATACTTGGGGGAAAGGAGAATAAACAACTGAGCATCAAGTATAATTTGGGCCTTAAACTGCAGTAGGGAAAACTTTACAATTATGTGCAGCAATGAGCATATGTATAGCCAGTGCTTTTTTTCTGGGCGTACGCATACCCCTAAACATTTTGTGAATCTAAGTTTGGCCTCATTGAGGGGCAGTATTTCAATATGAGTAGGAAAATGAGAGTACCCCTAAACATTTTTTAAAAAGAAAATAAGCACTGTATATAGCTAAAAACCTAGAATTATCAGACTTCCTTGTCACAGATGTGTGTGTGTTTAACAAAGCAGCTGCTCCTATACCTTGCAGGGTGGGGTTGGGTACCTTAGTCTACATGCTCCTTGGATGATCCATAATGTCGGCTTTGGCAGCATTCCGATCAAGATCAAGGCTTCTTGTTCGTATTCTGAAGACAGAAGTCTGTTTTTCAAACACACGTGCAGCCTTCATACTGATGGGATAAGTGTGTCTTTTTGTGTTTGGGCTTTTCTTGTGCAGGTTTAGTGGACTAGGGGAGAAGCGGAAGTGAGATGGATTTGGCTTGATGCAGCTTCATAATGATGGTGAGAAAAACTGAGGAGTCAGAATCTCAGGACATTCAAATGCCTTTTTAAAAATAAACAAGCTAATAATGGGAACTTCACAGTGAACAAAGCCAAATCAAATATCTCTAGCACACTTATTAGCTGAGAATTCTACAGTAGGCAAAAGGAGAGCCTTGGATGTTATTCACACATGCATGTTCCTCACCTGATTACTTGCCACTTGCTGGCTGGTAGCAGATGTATGAACTGACACTCCTTCACACCTCTGTATTTGAGATGATGAAAAGTGATGGAAGTCATATTGGCAGACTTTTCTCTGGTATATGAAGTCTCTCATTCACACACCCATTTTCGTTCAAGCGGTCACTCCATGTTCTATGAAAATAGCAGCTATACACAATCTATGTGAAGCATGGCTGGGATCTATGCTAGTGTAGTTGTTTCTAAAACTTTGTTGGGGCCAGGACTGGCACGGTCCCTAATGACACACTGCTCTGAAAAATTGACAACAAATGTTGTTCCATTTTCCTTATGATCCTTACCATCAAGACCCCACACATGGGAGGTAATTGGAACTATTAGGAATGATTAAAAGAAGGGTGGATCTAAGAAAACCACACATACACTAGCTGCAAAAAGGCTTTTCATTACTTATACCACTAAATCAGACTGAAGAGTCAATCTGGTTATCATGGAGCAATGTCAAATGCCATTTAATGACACCTCAAAAAAGGCACATGGGTACCTTAGAAAAATTATATCACAAGGCATACTTGAAGAACTCATGTTGGGGGACACCATTCTTTGAAGAATACCTAAGACAGGGCACACCTCTCTTGGATACCTAACTTAGCACAATCCTATTCATGTTCATTAACAGATCTGTTTTGGGGAGGATGACTGCAGCTACAGGAAAGAGGGTGTGTGTGTGGTTTGTGGAAGAGAATGGGACTTACTTCTAAGTAGACAGGCATATAATTGCATTGACAGACATCTTGGAAGAGGCTGTTGTCCTCCTCTTTCAGATAGGAGGGAATGTTGTTTCAAAGCAGAGCCCTTATGACATACCTATGGATTACCTAAAATAATATTTTTCTTTTCAGAATTCTTGTAATATATATATATATATATATATATGCAGATTTAAGCAGATTTACAGTGCAAACATATACCTAGCTACTCAGAACCAAGCCTTATAGTATTGAATGGAACTTACTCTCAGATAAGTGTGCATATGTTCATACTTACCAGTAAATGTCACTGAACTCAACACAGTGTATTTATAATCTCATAATATTCTTTGACTAAGAATTCTTCAATTGGTGACAACCCAAATCAAAACATTTTTATGATTTGATTCCCAAAGTGTCAGTTTTATTCATCATGAACAAGTTCTTAAAATTATGTAACTATTGTACATTTTGAGTTGTAGCATAAATCCATTTTAGCAGGTGTTTAGGATGCAAGTTAAAACCAAACCAGCCTCAATATATTAAATGCATCATTCTTATTAAGTCTAAACTTTTTAAGAGGGCATTTTTACCTGAATCATCAGGATATATAATCCGTAAATCATATGTTGTGTGTGTATCTATTTCTAATCCATATCTATAAATAAATATGGAGGTGGGGTGCATGTGAATATGCATAAGCAGCTAAACATACGACTTTTAAAATGCCACTCTTGTTATGAGTTTCTCCAGAGGCCTACTGTCTTCTGACAGCAAAAGATAAAGCTGGCTAATACAAATGAGTCACTGTTCCCTTGAAATAAGATGATTCAATTCCTATGTAAGAAAGGACTTGAATAATTAACTGTTGGCTTATCCTAAAAGATGCATCAATAAACAGTAACAGAAAGCATAAGCCTCATCATGTTTGCTCTCTTTCTTCTATATATTACCATGGGGAAAATGATACACACACCCCTACTTCTGATGTGTGTCGTGTTACTTCTCAGGTAGTTTGTCCACCTTTGGTTCTCACCCTGAACTCAGCTGTCACCTGTGGTTCCTAAAGGCTGTCAGCATGTTACAGTGGCCACACCCTGAGAACAGTTTCAGCTGGCCAGCTAAACCAGGTGAGGGTAGCTGATGAGTCTCAAGCCCTCAGTGAGTTAAGGACATCCCCTGCATGTGAAGCAGGCTCCGGTGGCTTGAATGGATGAGACCAATAGCAATAAAGCAATAAAGGTCAATAAAGCAGTTTCTACGCGTGCAGTAGAGGCAAGTGAGGGACAGATAGGGCTTGCCAACCTGGGAAGGTAGCCCACCTAGGAGAAAGAAAACTTTGATCCCAAACCACCTCTGCCTTGCGGAATATCTTCGAGAGAAGAAAAGGCTAAGGAGTAAACCCAACACAAATCTGGAGCAGAGTCCCTAAGACGGTGGGATGATGCCTTGTATGCCTCCTTATGGCAACTCCTGCAGCCAAGCTGCTGCCAAAGGTATAGCTATGCTTTTCTTTGGACCACATCAGTCAGACCAAGATGGGGGTCTTGTTGTCTGGGCAGCCCAGGACCTCCATACTCACAGTCCAGGCTTGCACCCTGGGGAGGCCACTTTGGTGCTGCTAACACAGCAGTTTGACTTCATTCATTGTGTCTCGAGACAGATGGATGACCAACAACATACACATCCAGATAAATTGCAAGATTTTAAAAAATATTGAAGGGCATGTATGCACCATGTATGCCATATAATATCCATTACTGTGGAAAAATCCAATTGGCTGTATACCTAGTCTCCACCACCATCGTTCAGCCCGGACACTGAGATCCTCCTCTAAGGGTCTTCTGGTGGTGCCCTCACTACAAGAAGCAAAGTTACAGGTAACCAGGCTGCCCTGTGGAACACCCTCCCTTCAGATGTCAAGAAGATAAAGAATTACATAACCTTTTATGTTTGATGTTTTACTATGTTTTATATGTGCTGTAAGCCACCCAGAGTGGCTGGGGAAAGCCAGCCAGATGGGTGGGGTATGAAGAAGAAGAAGAAGAAGAAGAAGAAGAAGAAGAAGAAGAAGAAGAAGAAGAAGAAGAAGTTAATGCCAAGAATAATAATAATAATAATAATATATTTGATGCCTATATCCATACTTTATTATGCACAATGATTCAAGTGCTGGAAATAAGGGACACTTCAGTCATTATATTTTGGGGGGTATATACCTAATGTTTTTAAAGTGCACAACAACAAATGTCCATTTGCAAACATATGTACCGTGATGCAGGTACTCTAATCAAGAAACGATGACTGGCAACCATTCCCTGTTGAGTGTATGCTTGATGGCAAATCATGCATCTTGGTAATGTGTGAAATACACAGGTGAAATGTACACCACCACTGTAAATTAAATATAATTGTATAAGACAATCATTCCCAATGTGAGTATTTTAATCTACAGCTCCTATTATGCCTAGCCATTGATCATGCTGGCTGAGACTGATGGGAGTTGGTGTCCAAAACATTTGGAAGGCCCCACTTTGAAGCAGGCCAGTATGAAGAAATAACTTCCTAATACAGTAGTCATTTCATGTTGAGCATTTCCTGAGATTTGAACAGGAGCCGGATAATAATTACTATGCCAAACTTACTAGTTAGAAAATTTAAGTTCAGCATACTTGCAAGGAAATGGAAAACCAATATAGTGTAGTGATTAGAGTGTCTGTGGAGATCAGATCCCCACTCAGCCTCAAAGGTGTGTCCTTCAGACATTTACTCTCTCCAAATCTAATCTACCTTACAGGATTGTTGTGAGGATAAACTGAGATAGCCTAGATCTATGTACACCACCCTGAGCTGATAGGAAGAAATGTGGGATACAGATGTGGTTAAAAATAAGAATGCACTCAGCCATGGTTAGGCTGGGATTGTGTGGTGATATGATTAAAGTTAGTGAGACTGTAATCCTTATCTGGGTGTAGCTACATTATGTTTGTCTACTCCAAAGTAGGGAAAGATAATTTACAGAAATCAATGAGACCAATTCAAGTGTGGCCTGTGGGTCATTCTCTTAAAGGAAAACTGCTGCAAGTATCTGGGAAGAAGAGTGAACCAACTCTCTACAACATAATATGAAATTTGATACTGTTGTCAGTACAATTCCCCAGTGAGAAGGATAAATTGTGGTCAAGACCTGGACAGGTTAACTAGTGGTCATCCCTTCTGGTGGTACCTTTTATATACAAAAAGAGGTCAACACGATTGGAGAAAAAATCTGAAACCTAATACCAGCCATGAAACAAGACATCTGTTGGACTCTTATTTGTTTCTTTTTAAATGGGCTTTAATTGAAAGCTCAGTGAAAAATGCAGGTTACAGTCTTTGTGGTATCAATAGCTTATAGCAACATCTGAACCGTGATGCATCTAAATTATGTTTGTTCACTTTCTAATTTTAATTGTTTAAGAGCAATACATTATTAGATATATATTTATTGACATATATACACCACTTCAAACAATTAATCGTAAATAATAACCCCTAAACCCTGAAATAATATATTTCCTCACATTGGGCATTTATTTTCGCACATATAATTGTAAATGAGAAGACGTTCAAGTCACTTAAGAGCTATTTGTGTAGCTTAAGAGCCATATGTTAATGGAAATTCTGGACCAGCCTCTTCTTGAGTTCAACTTTAACTTTATTTTACACATTTTGCTAGCCATATAACCAGCATGGCTGCATGTTAAACAAATCCTAAACATTTACAATGATACTGACTTTACTTTGTGTGAGGATCTGTATCTCAAAGTGGAATATTTAACATTAAAAAGCTGAAATTTAAACCAGCTTCAAAATACAAAAAAAAACACATACATTTTCTCTACATTAATGCTGTTTGTGTTAAAACAAGTTAACTTCAATGCAAGATTTTCATTTTCAGTATAGAAAAATATCAGTTCCTCTAACTTTACCAGTTTTAGAAGCAAAGCTAGTGATCTTGCAGATCGTACACACTCTCATAGTCTCTCTCTCATAGTCTCCTATGGGAAGGGAAAGTCCAATGTAACATATTGTTTGAGCTTCCTTAGAAGACTGCAAGTATACCAGCACTTCTTTCTATTGCCCTTCATCAAGGCAATAGGGGAGGAGAAAGAGAGTCTCCAATAGCAAGACGATGGGGTTGGTTACAAACCAAGTCATTGGGGTGCAAAAAATATTGTGCTCAGTGGTGGCTGGCACCTAAATATGGGAGTCAGATGACTCACATCTTGGCTGCTTAGGAGGACAAGAAGCATCTCTCATTTAAATGTTGCTCCTGCCTAAGGCACATTCAATTACAGTGGTACCTTGGGTTACATACACTTCAGGTTACATACGCTTCAGGTTACAGACTCCGCTAGCCCAGAAATATTACCTCGAGTTAAGAACTTTGCTTCAGGATGAGAACAGAAATTGTGCTCCGGCGGCGCGGCAGCAGCAGGAGGCCCCCTTAGCTAAAGTGGTGCTTCAGGTTAAGAACAGTTTCAGGTTAAGAACGGACCTCCGGAACGAATTAAGTACTTAACCCGAGGTACCACTGTACCAGTCTGCATAACACATATGTCTATACCACTGTATAGGGTTCTCTCCACTTGAACAGGAATCTTGAAAAACGAAGTTTCCCGATCGGGCATAGAGAAGCGTATTCATATATACCTATATGCTCATCAGTTCTGTGCAGACTTTAAACTGAGCATGCACAGGTTGTGGAAAGGCGTTGTGCAGTCCTGGCCTCCCCCATATACATCTATTTATTGACTTTCTGAAACCAGCCACACTGGTCCCTTTGTTTTCCCTCTCTTCAGTGTAAACTATTGTGGGAACTGCACAAGCCTATGTGAATTGTGGGGCTCTGGTGTACATCAAAGTGTGCATCCAACCCCCAGATGAATTGCATGTGCATATAAGAAACTACTAGAGCACCCATAACTCTGAGGAATGTAAGCAAGATATTGGAATGGTTGACACTGAAGATTCACAGAACGATATAAAATTGTCCCATTTGGGCAGTACAAAGATTACTAAAATTGACTCAATATTTGTACAGGACTGCATCAGTATTTTGAAACTTCAGTGTTTGCAGTAAGCACACAGTATACATGGAACAGACTTTCAAACATACCAATCATTTATATATGAGCATGACATAGCACTAGCTTGCACTTGCAAATTTCAAGTAAGAAATAAAAAGTACAAAACCTTTTAAGGAAAGAACAAATATACATAGCTAAAGTCTATCGTAATATTTAAAGTATAACATAGTCAACTTGTAATTATATAATAATGTTACAAATAGAGGTTTTGGAATAGGAAGGTTCAAAATTCTAAGCTGAGGCCTATACTGAACATTATCCTACAGTTTAGTTAACTTGTCTCAACCGCATTATGAAGGCATCTGAGATTTCCTAAAGATTCGACAGACAATGGTTGAAATGTTTGCAGTAGTTCATAGGGTCCATCTGGTTTGTACAGACAGTGTGAAACATCTAAAGCGTAAGTTGAAGTTTAGTCATGTTCCTGTTGTGCATATTATGATGACGGACCAATTCATCAGACCGAGCAAATTTTTTTTGACAGCTGGGCCACCGACAACTGAAAGGCTTTTCACCTGTCAACAAAACACGGAGTTATTAAACTGTCACAGGATGATTTTTTTATCATCTAGGCCCATCCCTTCTTAGCATATAGAAATTGTCAATAGAAGCGTGTCCCTAACTTTTAAATAGATGGTGCTCCATCAAGGTCTTTGGAGTCTAGCCTAGTGATTTCAAAGGGAGATGGATGGTGCTTTTAGCTTCTATTACTTTTCATTTAAAAATATTAATTATGTTTCCACCATTCTTTGCCTCCGAAAAAGCTCAGAGTGCCTTATTTATGCCTCCAACAGATCTCCCATCCAGGCAATGCTCAGGAGTAGATCTAGTTTGCTTCAGCAGGAGAACTGCTTCATCTCCCTATATATCATACTCTGGGCAATAGCTTCTATTGTTATGTTCAGTGGGAAATGAACATTCAAAATCTATACAGAACTGAGACATGGAATGATATTCTCCTGTAGTTTAAAGCAGTTATTTGTTTATGGTTTGTTTACAGATTTATATGCCCTTATGGGAAAATGCTCACAAGGCATCTTACAGAAAATTACCATTAAACAATAAAAACAACCAAATCAACAATAATCTTTAAGAAGTGCCACTCACTTTTAAACAAAGGAATGGGGAACTTCTACTCTCGGCCAAGCCAGTTTCAGCTTCCTTTTCACATTAGAAGGCAGCCCATTATTGGCCATCCCAACCCCACCAACTTTCAGCAATGAACACAATAGTATGATAACACAACAGTACTGAAGAGGCAACCGACCTCAAAAGAATAGATCAGCACAAAAGTGGCATAACTAGTACTCTCTGCACTGCAGTTTTCAGAAGCGGACTACGTTCTATGTCAATGGTGTATCTGAACCCCATCAGAGGCAAACTTTGGTAATACGGCTCCCTAAGCGAGGACAAAAACTACCGCCGCCACCCTCTATTTCTGATATTTCACAATAATTCCTTTTGGTTCAGTGGCTTTTTATGGATCTTAAAGGGTACACTTATAAATATTGGTTCTTTCGAATTACTATTATTATTTAGTGCCCCCTCGCCTCAGTTCCCTGTGCAGGAAAACCGCCTGCATCACCCTAAATCCGACACTAATCTCATGCAGCACCAAGGCCACAATTCAGATCAGCACTTTAGCACAAGGAAGTAGGGTTTAACTCTTCCTCTGGCGGCAATCCTGCGCTGCTGAAAATTGCCCCTACCTGAAGCTGCAACTTGCCCCCAGAGCTGCAGAAAATGGCAGCTTTGGGGACAAACAGAAGCTATGTATTGCGGGATATGATTTTTTACAAGAAAATGGGGCAGGGTGAAAGCTAAATCTCCTCTTCTGCCGAGCTGTGGTCCTGACAGAGATATACAAAGAGGGGGATTGATTATTTGTAGTGGCAACACCACTCTAAACTTCTAAGAATTTTTTGTAGATGACCCATTAATGAAAGCAGCAGATAATTTTTACATTCCTTTCAAAATATGATCCTACAGTCTCCAGCTTCAGTGCAGTTCTCACTATTTTTCAAATACTTAATGTTCAGGTGAAGGCACACGAAGCTTCATAGGATGGACTAAGCAGGATCACTTGTTTAGTACATCTCCATATAGCACCAAAAGAAAAGTGCCGATATCACCTAGAAAAGCTCTAAACCTTTCAGCATTTATTTATATTTTGCACCCTTATTTGAGTTTTACTTTTCCACCATGTGATAGTGATAACTCTAACCCATGCCTCTTATGACATTCACTAATTTCCTGGAACTATCATATGCATTTAAAACATAGCAAAATCAATTCAGGTAAAAGAAATTTAAAAATATAAATGGGAAAAAAGTATACGCACTTGTTTTACCTGTATGAGTCCTGGTGTGAGTCTTCAGGTGGTCAGATCTGGAGAACTTTCTCTGACAGGTTTTACACTGGAAGGGTTTCACACCTAAATAGATAAAAGAAGTCTAGTCCCATGTTCCAATACCTTTTCAGAGGAGTGAGGGACACCAGTTGCTTATGACCTCCAAACTATGGATTTTTGCTTTGCGTTTGTTGTTTAATAGTTACTGAAATTAATCTTTCTCTTTGCACATGCCTACACATCCCAAAGGTCATTAATCAGGCGTCTCAACTTCATAACCTTTCTTCAACCCTCTTTTACCAGTTAGTGCTTTCACAGTGCCTTTGTTCCTGGCAAAGCAAGTAAGGATTAACTCACTACCAGATTTGTAACTTGAAAAGTAGCAAATGAGGAACACGCTCTGGTGCTGGGGCATTATTTCATTTAAATTTGAAATTTACTTTTGTTCAATATTCTACATATTTTCCTAACACGTTAAAAAAAAGGTCCATAAATTATGTGCTTTAACCTAGGAAATTTACTTTCTGTATCCAGCAAAGGATATGCTAACCAACAAAAGAGCTAACCTACCATAAAGCTAAGCACAATATTCCATGTCCTTCATTACCAAGCCTAAAGTTTTAATATTTGTTAACAAAATGTTTGATGCCCACAAAAAAAATGTTTAATGGTGTGTTTCCCCTAGCAGAAAGCACTTCCAAAAGCCAAGGCATTTTCTTTTCTTTTATTCACTCCCTACCTGGTTAAGTTCCCCCATCCCTTCCAAAAAGCTGCTCCTGAGGGTTTGGAGACTTCTGGGATAGTATGGAATATGGCATGGAGTGCTGAAGTAAATTGGAGAAACTGGATGGCAAGGGTACTTAACCTTTTTTGGTCTGAGGGATACATTCATCCTTGACCAACCTGGGAAGAGGGGCACATGCCACGTGTGGGCAGCAACATCCCTAGGCTCTCTTGCGCCCTTTGCAAGGAGCTGTATCAGCACCCATCCACCCTTCTCTTGCACCCTTGGTAGGAGATACATTGGTTCCTCCAAAGCCAGGAGAGACCATGGACCAGAAACTCAAAAAGTTTACTTTTTGTTGCCTTCTGCACTCCTCCAGTGATTTCCTCCATGGCCATCTCCATTGGGTCTGCTCCACCTCCCCCCGTTCTCCTCCTCCACTGGTTCACCTCCCTCCCTCCCTCCATGCACTGCTTTCCCTTCTGTGTCCTTCCTCCTCCCTCCCTTCCTTTTTCCTCCTCCTGTAACTCTCGCCCACTCTCTTTAGCTTTCTTCCCTCCAAGCCCTGCTGGGTGCTCCACTCACACTTCTAATAGTGCCCCTAGCCAATTGGGATGGGCCCCCTGCAGAGATGTTGCGATGGTGCACTCCAGTGACCAAATTCTTCTGCCAAGGTGCTCAGAGGAGCTTGCGTGTCTCACCTGGCCACCCAGAGTAGTGGAAGTCCTGCCCAGGGAGCATGCAGATGGGCGGGTGGGCTTCTAGTCACTCCGAGACACTTTTTGCACCTCCCTGGGCCTATGCCCTTGGGAGGGGCCAACCTGAGTAACCCCCAGGTATGCCCCTGCTTGTGGGTGTAATTGAAAGTTGGTGTGGCTGCCCCACACTCTCACTTGCAAATGCACAGGGCACATCCCCCAACATCCCCCTGTAGATTAGCTGGGGGGGATTATTGCCCCCTTCCTACTCATCACATGATTGATCTGATGACTGAGGAGGGGCTGGATTGTATCATCATCAAGAATGTTGGGCTGGACAGAGAGAGTTAAACTTCACCATCCACCAGCCTTTGAAATTGAGGGCTTCAGGGCAGCTGAAAGTTAACAATGTACAGTGCCATGAAAAGTGCATCTTGCACAAAATTCACTTCTGATGGCCACGGTAAGCGCACCCATTGTCAGGTGATTGGCAGCTGGATGTTTGGGCTGAGAAATGCCACCTCATGAACCAAACTAGCCTGTTGGATCAAATTAGACTGGCAGCTCAGAGGTTCTGACTTTCTTCAAAAATACGCCCCAGCATTTTAAATTGGGCTCAGGTTGAAATAGGCAACCAATACTAGTCTTCCAAAATAGGTGTAATATAAATTGCTCTGGCTGTACCCATTAAAAACCTAGTAGTCATGTTTTGCACTAAATGAAGTGTTTAATGCAGCACAGTAGTCCAGCTTGGAGGTTACCAGAGCATAGATCACTGTGGCTAGGCTATCTTTGTACAGGAACAGTCACAGCTGAAGAAGCAGCCATCTCTGATGAAAGGTCTCTCTGACTTTTGTATAGCTTGCATGTGACCTACTGCACAAAGGCACGAGTCACACCCATTGAGCCACCCACTGTTGTGCCTGGCCGTCCCCACCACTGGCATGTATCCCCCAGAAGATTGCCTGTCAGGAAGCGTGATCCTTGATCTGATGAAGTTTCCCCATCCCTGTTGTCAAGAAAACCAAGAAAGCAAAATAGCAATATTATCTGCTGCTTTGTTTGAAATACCGAGACACAGACAAGAGGCTTTTCACAAGTGATTTAACAATTCCAGAATAAAGACATCAAAATCATCAGGCATTAAGTTTGCATTAATAATATATTATAAATTATACATGTAAATAAAATGTATAAATGCATGTAATGGCTCTCCAAATAACAATGTTTCTACTTAGTGAAGTTTGCATAAGCCCTTTCACAGTATTATTCATCAGGATCACCTGTATCAATGGACAGCATATTTGTTCTTTGCACTGACTCCTCTTAAAAACAATTGGATTCTCCTGCATCTAACAATATGTACCAAAAGCACAAATCTTTTTGCTTCTCCCCAAAACAGAAGTGTTAGTGTTGCTAGCCATGCTACAATTTAATGATATATGAAAATATCCACTGCATATGTTCAATAAACTGCTTTTTTGCTGTTTAAATTTCAATGTATCCAAACAACTGATGACACATGAGCCCATAATCCTGAATTACAGGGGCAAGGAGGAGAGAAAGGAATAAGAATTCAATTTTTCATACTCTATGTTATGGAAACTGCAAACTGCTACAAATTTCAAAAGCCAAGGCATGCAACAAACCTGTATGTCGTCTTTGGTGTCGTTTGAGTTGATCTGAACGAGAAAATCTTCGTTCACAGTCCTTAAAGTCACACTGATACGGTTTTTCACCTTAGGGAGAACAAGTTTCATTTGAAAAAGATGAATTAAGTTGGAAAATAAAAGCCCATAAAACACACTAGAACAATTTTCAATCACATACACATTTAAAGGAGGTGAATATATCTGTGTTGTAGCAGGGGTGCTTTATATAAGTCATTTTCAAGGAAAATCTCTGCATGGAAAGAATTGGGTATGCAGTCACATTTGAATTGTGGCAAAGCAGTTTATTTTGCTACCAGTATATGGATATGACAATTTATGTATACTGCAGTTACCCCATCTGTGTACTTAATGCAAAGTAAGTTAAAATTCCTTTAGGAACGATAATCCTGAAACAGATGTTTGTCGGATTCTGTCAGTTTTCTGCCATCAGAAATCAGTTTAAAAGCTGTTCTGACAACCTTGTAGATTTTAAGTACCAAGGGTGGGATTTTCCAAACCAACCCCGGCAGCAGAAGACTTGAATGAGGACTTTCGATTGCATAATGGGGCTTTCAGTGGGCTGGATCCAAGCGAAGCATGAATGAAGGTCCATTGAATGGTGGGGAGAAGGTGACTTCTTCCGGTTCACCTTTCTGCCTGAAGTAGCCCTTTGAGCCCCCTTAAATCTGCTCGGAGGAAGAGGGAACCTTCCAAATGAGAGTGAGAGGTGTTACTGGAGACTGCAGTGTAAGGGGGAATCACATTGAACAGGAGCTTCTGTGGATTCATAGCCCATTCCATGACCAGGACTCTTGTTACTTCTTAATTGCATCTTATGTTTTGAGAATATTCAGTCACTGTCTACCAAAGTCACAGCTGGGCCCATGCTTTGTTTTGATTTTGATTTTTTGATTTTTTATTTTTGAAGAAGGTCAACATGTACTGGAAGTGATTAATAATTCAAGATCACAAGTGGCAATTTCCCAAAAATAACTAAGGATAAAGTTACATAAATAATATGCTTATTTTCTTCCAACATTAATAGATTGTGAGACCATAACATTTGTTGGAAGAAAGGCCATGCCTTCATCTTGCCCCAAAATTCTCCTAACTGTGATTTTGATTTTGTTCTCTAGATCTAGTAAAATATGTCAACTTTGCCATAAGGGCATCCTCCCAAATTCTTCTATGGATGCTTCATTGCTCAATCTCCATTTCTCAGCATAAAGAATTGTAGCTGCGACTGGCAAGTAAGAAACCATGTCTAATAGAACCTTCCAAATGATTTAGCAATTTTTTAAAAAAAATACTGGGGTTTGATTCATATGAGATTTTAGTAGGGCTTTCTATAGAGGCCAGATAAACATCCAGAGTGGTGGCAGTCTTTGTTCTGACCCTTTGCGGGCAAGAGGCTTAGGAAATAACTCTATACATGCCTCATTCTGTCACAATAAGTCATTTCATACCAGTTTTCAATTTTGAGACAGAAATGCCATGTGCTTATACTTGTAATGTCCCAACTTTTCAATATTTTGATGGCAAGGAAGGAAAACAGCATACAAAAAAAATTGCATTTAAAGCAAAACAGGCAAATGTGTATTGGTAAGATATTTATAGTCAATGGTCAATTCAGATGTTCAGAAACAGAGGAGTGCATATGAACCTGTCTTATACTGAGTCAGAACATGGGTGCATCTAGCACAGTTTATTCATTTTGTTGCTTTTATATCCCATCCATCCTCCCAAAGGAGCCCAGGGGAGCAAACACCTCTGTGATTATTATTATTTTTTTTAAAAAAAGATTAAAAATAAAATGAAAACATATTATACTCATTTTTAAAAGGAATAAAAAATCTAAAAACAATAAAGCACAATAAAACATATGAATCAGATTTAAGAGCAGGTGTAACACAATCTTGTGTCTGGATTGGCCTGCCAAAGCTGACGTTTTCAGCAGGCACCTAAAAGGGTAGTGATGGTGACTGCCTAATATCAACAGGCAGGGAGTTCCAAAGTTCAGGTGCTGCCACCCTAAAGGACTAGCTTGTTACAAATGCAAAGCAGACTTCCTCTGAGTGACAGTGAGTTTCAGTCTGGGTTCCCCTGCATCCCTTTCATCTTCTAGAGATGCTAGTGATTTGGCTTGTTCTTGCAAAGCATATGCTCTGACCACACAGCTATGAATCCTGCATAGTGCCATGCATTTCTACATTTCTTCAGGACTAATAAACACTGAATCAGTTCTAGTTTATTCAAGATGTTATATGATTCTTTTGTAAACTAGGTTTATTCCTATTAAAAAGAGTTATTTTTGCTAGCATGCCATAAAGCAACTGCTTTGAAACATCGTTATGTCTTTTCCAAATGACAAGCGACATCACCCATATTAACTGCTCTTTCACATTTACACTGAAAGCAAGGAGTTCAATATCTAAACGTTTCTGTTGGATATCTGTAAGAGAATCTTTATAGCTTCCTGTGGAAGTCACCCAAAGGAGTTTACTGGCTTTTAAAACCCAAAATGGGTTGTTTCCATGTCCATTCAGATTAATTTATTTATTCAAAAAGTTATATTTGTCACATGTGTTTAAAACAGTTCCTTTTAAATCTGGCCACAAGGTCCCTGTAGGAATTGCTGCGCCTTAAAACTGATTGTGAGGAAGGCTGAAGCCTTGGCAGATTTAAGGCAGAGAATGCTGGTGGAACAGAATGCACTGAGCAGATTGTAGTCTCCAAAGTTCAGTGCAAATGCAGTTCTAAAGCATGAGCATTTGAGCAGCATGAAGTGATACATTTCACACTGCTTCCACATTGCAAACAAAGGTCTTCTGTTATTATCAGGCTTACTGGAACTGTTATATCTTTCTCAAGTTAAGCTACAGCAACCATCTGCTACAGACCTCTGCTGTCATTCATCTATGTGTGGGAATGTTTTCAAACAGAATATGTCATTTACCCTTTTCAGAATTTTACTTATCTTCACATGTCTTTGCATTTCCGAATAGAAACTTTTGTCATTGTAGGAAATCACATTAGATTTTGATGTAAAACATGCATGAAGCCACTTATGTAATCAAGAAATTTTCAATAACCCAAGGACCTTGTCACACTTCATGAGTTGTATCCAACTAGGCCATACTCAATGTAGATCCATTATGCTCAATCCATTAAAATCAATTGACCTCCACTAGTTTCAGTGGATCTACTCTTGAGCAATGGTTTTTTCTGGGGGTATGCAGGGGTACCCATACCCCTAAACATTTTGTGAATCTTTGTACTTTTGTCCATTTACTGTATTTATTTTTGAACTTTAAAATGGTGTTTTTCTTGAGACAAAATGAGAGTATCTCTAAATATTTTTATAGGGGAGGAAAGCACTGTTCTTAGTATGACTTAGTCAGATGCAACCCTATATGCCTAAGATGTTTCAAGTTTACACCCATAAATACAAACATGGGCATCATACAGTTCCCTTGTCAGGAATTATATGCTGAACAGCAAACCATGTATAATGTATGAATGGCTTTTGGCATTGTTACAAATCTTATAGCTTCTGTGTGTTCTTCTTGAGCTATCGCTACTATTATCTGATTATTCTTACTATTATTCAGTGTAAGACGTATGCTAGGTCCCAAGCACTTTGTTGAATGATAACATGGGGCAACTTGTTATGCTTCCGATGCAATTTGTGTCCTGAAATAAGGGTTAAGAACTTAGGACAGTGCCATGGGAGTTGCCCTGTGGTGTCCTGCAAGGTTACGTATTGTGCCCCATGCTTTGTAACACCTATATGAAGCCCTGGGAGCTGTCATTAGGAGATTTGGAGTGAAGTGTCATTATGCAGAAATGACGGGGGCCTTTTGCTTGCAGAGTATGTGCTCTGCCACTGGGCTACTGCCCTCCTCCCTATAATTAGCTACCTATGAATTTCTAGTAAACATCAGAAATGATTCAGACACATGCTGAGATATGAGATGCCAGAAGCACAATGCTAAATTCTGGACATTTCTAACACGGATTGGGCTCATAGAAAGCACCTGCTCAGCAGCACACAAGGGGACTAGATGAGCAACATGTGACCTACTGAAAGCCATAGATTAAGGGTGACCACCACATATCTATCCATAATGCAGACTGCTGCTACTGTGCATTCATGCTTGGGTGCACAAATTATTCTTATAGCATGGTAAATTTAATGTGCTGAACATCAGAAAACCTATTCCCATCTCCTTCCAAAAAGGTGAAGACAGATATCATTACCACTGAAAATGTAAGCAACAGAAACTTGTGGAAAGTCACTCAATGGGGAATACCTGATAAACCAGCTATGAAACATTTACAGGAAGAAAGACCACGTGTATTTATTTTCCAAAGAGCTTTGTGGTTATGTAGAAAACCCCATTCATGATACTTTTTTTATACACTGGCTATCTATAAATTTAAACTGGCCTCAAGATTACACTCGGTGCATACATTCCAGGAAATAGCAGATGTTCCCCAGAGAGCTGTCTCCCACTCGTTTCTCCTCAAGGTTAAACTACTTCATTCTATTCTGTTGAGGCAGCAGACTGATAAGGGCCCAGAAAAGTGAAGTTTAAGGGACATCCCCATACTGATCACCAGTAAACTCCTTCCCTGCCCCTTTTGACTTTGGTAATTAGGAAAACACATGGAAAGTTCATCTTCACAGCTATCTTCCCACTGTCTGGTCCCAAATCTAAGGTGCAAAAGACTTGGGGCCAGATTCTGCTAAAGAATTGTGCTAGTGGGAAGCAGGGCAATGAGTTTCACCAGCACGATGGAGATTTCCCCTCTTCTCCTCTCCACTCCCATCAGGTCTGGAGAATCAGGAGAACCTCCAGAACAGCTCACAGGGAGAGAAGAGTAGAGGTCATTCAGTCTAGCAAGCAGAAATGCTTGCATTGATGGAACAATTGTACTAGCTCAGTGTTGAATTCCACCCATTTGCCTGATTGGAAAAGAGTCATGAAGCACAATTGCATCTTCAAGAATGTTTTTCTTATAGGAGGGGAGTGAGAAACCAGTCATACCAAGGAGATGCTGTCTGTTATGTGTAATCAGTGTGTGATTATGGGAATGCTGATCTTTAGCTTAGCTTGGTATGTGCATGCGGGCTTGCAGCAAGCTCAGCAACTTGCATCAGTGCAGCATAGGGTGACCAGAAAAGGAAGATGTGCCTCCAGCACCTTTAATACCTGTGTATAAAATGGCTTTTCAGCAGGTGTAGGCTGTCATTCAAGCTACCATGTAGCCATCCTAATGTATAGCCAGAGCTGAAAAGTTGGCATCAAGTTTACAGAAGGGTTTATAAGGGCTGATACTTTTTCTCTCATAGTATAATACCTCATAACTGGTATAGTTCTCCAAGTTCATGAATAGATCCATGGGCCTTGAAAAACATTATTGTTCTGAAGAGGAATGGGGTACTGGATGAGATTGGAAAGACTGCACACCCAGAGATTGCAAGCTCACAGAGAACAACTTCATAAGCTAACTCTAAAGGCAATCCTTTAATTGGAAGAGACCAGTCTACAGTGATGGTGGGAACAAAATGGCCTGGTCAGGAAAGAATGTGTAATAAAAACCACAAGACCCAGTATGAACTGGGGTGAGCTGCTCCAGGTCATCAGGTTTGTGACAGTGACTTATGCAAATGTTCTGAAGAAGAGATGGTTGTTTAATTTACACACTGTATCCTTCCCTGGAGAAGAAGCCATGACTTTACAAAAAAAATCTTTAATATAAATTTGTTAAAGTAATGAAATTTTGCTTTTCAAAACTAGAAAAACTGTTGCAAGAACTGTGCCTGTTATACGGTTGTTTGTTCTGTGCAAAACATTTTTACAGTTTTGCTGAGAAGAAAACTCCGATGGGTACAAAGTAGTACACTTCACTGATTAAAAAACTAAGAGTGGCATTCTACTAATGAGTCACATCAGTGCATAAGGACTTCTGTTTGTGCAATAGGGCTTCCCCCCTTCATCTGGGGGGTGGGATCAGGCAAATCCCTGGAATAGTGCACGGGGGAAGGAGGTGGGGGGTCATTTTGGCTTGAAAGCGCAAAATTGCATTCCTTTCAGACTCCCAAACCGTACACCAATTTCCAAAAAACCTTCAAAAACACAAATCATAGTTGCTGGGTCATGTTAATGGTGATTGAAAGCTCCATGAAATCTTACCACTTAATCCAGTGTATTGCTTATATTGCTTTCCCCCCGTTGTATTTCTCAGCTTCCTAATGCTCCAAATCAACCAGATGCCTTTTATTATTATATGTTTCAGTTAATGGTATTGTTAATAACCAGGAAAGCACTCAATAAGCAGTTAAAGGGCACATGAGAAGTCAGCAAAAGCTGTGTTGAAACATTAAGAAATGCTGGTATGAATTCCAAATTTTTCTATCCGAGCTCTGCATGTTTTCTAATCCAACTGTGGGTAACACTATCTGAGTGAGCAGTTTGCAGGAAATGTAATGAGCCAGTCATGTATAAATATCTAGGTGATGAGAAAGAAGAATCTTATGGAGCACATCCAGCTCCACCCCCATATATATCTGTGTGTGTGTGTGTGTGTGTGTGTGTGTGTGTGTATTATCAAGCACAATTCACTGGAAAAACATCACATACGAATCATTAATTTGGAATGATATACAGAAGCATTTTGTTCCTTAAAAAAAACCCTTCAAGACCTGTGAGGCCATGCCTGACAAATAAGGTAGTCATTCAGTTGTGCTGTATGTGCAAAGCAACCACACACACACACTGCATCCCTATTAGAGGTGACCAGTGAAGGACTATCTTGCTCTTTTTAGCCCAAGGACCCTAAAATGCCCCATGTTGGAGGGATTATGAACACAGCATGGTCATGTATTCCACTGTCTGAAGGAGTCTTCTACTTGAAGGGTCCACTCCAAGTCTTAATTAAAAACCATAGTAGTTCCTTGAAGTTCCCCATCAGCAGTAAGAAGGCCCAAAGGTCACCTAGTCATAGTGTTTTCCATTATATATACTGTATTTCTATTTAAATCATATGAATTTGTATATAAATTTGCATACCTATAAACCTATGCGAATTTTATGCAAATCAGCACTTTCTTTTGCTGTTGGTATGTAAATAGCCATTTTATATGAATGGGTTCAATTCCCAGTACAGTAAACACCAAAGCACAGAATCAGACTTCTAACTAGGGACAATTTTGCAGTCCATTAAAATACTTACCTGTGTGCTTTCTTCCATGCATCTGCAGATGAGACAGTTTGAAATATCGTTTATTGCAGCCAGGGTATTCACACATGAAAGGTCTTTTCTCATTTGTGTCACCTGCTGATCTAACAATCATAGGAGCTACTCCAGGTACTCGTCTCACATCCTATAATGGCATTAAGAATTTGGATTATTATATGACCAGTTTTCAGAACTGGAAGCAGTGCATGCAATAACTGCTCCAATTATACTACCTTAAACTCAAAACATATCTATTGTAATTAATATTTATTTAATTTGTTTATTAATCTTTTTTTCCCTTCCTGTAAAACAAGCTTTAACATATTACTGCTTAGCAAAAAATGAAAATTTCAGGCCTTCAGTTAATAATCACATGCCAGATCTAATATTTAGGAAAGCGCAATGCCACTTTGAAGTTTCCCATTTAGAGGAATATTGTAGCTTGTTCTAATGAAAATTATTTCTGTTGTTTCTTTTTCTTTAAGTCAGCCAATAGTTTCTCACTGAATTTATTACTGATGCAGTGGAACAGTAGAGAAAAGATCCTGTAGAGAGGTGTAAAAAATAATAATGCATGGCACAGAGAAAGTAGATAGAGAAAAGTTTTTCTCCCTCTCAAAGCGCTAGAACTCATGGACCTCCAATGAAGCTGAATGTTGGAGAATTCAAGGCAGGCAAAAGAAAGCTCTTCACACAGCACATAGTTAAAAGTATGGAACCCATTCTCACAGGAGGCAGTGGTGGCCACCAATTTAGATGGCTTTAAAAGGGGATTCAGCAGATTCATGGAGGATAAAGTAAATCAGTGGCTAGTAGCCATGATGGCTGCCTCCATGGTCAGCTGCAGTAATTATTCTGAATGCCAGTTGCTGGAAACCACAGGAAGGGAGAGAGTCCTGTCATGCTCAGGTCCTGCTGGCGAGCTCCCTATGGGCATCTGGGACCATGGCCTGATCAAGTTCTTAACTTAAAAGCAGTAGTTTCCAATGACAGCCTGGAAATCCATTTAGAATTGTACATTTTCTGCAATATACTTACCTGTATTCCTCTAAAGACTCCATGGGTGTGTATTCTATACTGGGCCCCACAGCTGTATAACATAGGGCCTGCATGGTTATCACTTTCATATCCTGTTGCATGGCTGAAAATAAAAAGAGGCCAAAGGTTGGAAATTAACTATACTCTGTTGATGAAGTATTAGCGACAGGCCTTCATTCAATCCGAAAACAACTAAATAGACCAAGGAAACGTAATGGAAACTTAGTGATTCTGTTTCAAACATGGGTTTCAAAGAGAGAACATAAGATTTGCCTAGTAGTGCTTTAAATTTTGATTACTGCAAAAAAAATAGTACAGATAGGGGTGGGGGAACACAGAGAAGCAAAAGTTAATGCAGCAGATACGTGCAAGTTATTTATCAGTTAAATGCCAAGTTGGCTATTGCTAATATCTTTGGAATGAGCAAAATGCCTCAGGTTTCACATTAAGTGCAGTGGGTTTTTGTCAGCACCTCATGACTCAGATATAACCAGATAGGACTGAGAAAGTGATGACATTTACAAGAACAGCAGTGGTGCAGCCACAGGATAGGATTACAAATCAGAGTCCTAACTATTTAACCTACATATCAGCTTGGAAGATGTACTGTAGCTTAACCTTTAGTAAAATCAACAAACAAGGAAATCGTTACCTTGTGGAAATCAGTGATCCCCCTCTGTGCAGCAAGGATGCAACCCAAACATTTCCCTTGAAGTATTTAGGACTTTCAGTTTAAGGCTAAAAATAAGTGAACTTCATCCTGCAACATTTAACTTTCTATAAATATAAACCTGTATTTACCGGACTTCTGATAGCTGAGACACACACTTTTATTCTAAAATGAAACTGGAGAACCATTTCAGTCTTACACTTGAAGAAAAAAGTTTACCTTTAAGTCGTGTAAGAGTTAAGAAATTACACAACACCCATCCCTTGACTTCTGTATCAGTCATTGATCTCAGTGTGCTTCCTAATTGGAAATTCAATGGAACTTACTTCCGGATAACTGTGCAAGACTGCAAATATGCAGGGCAATAATAATTATAATAATTATAATTTATTATTTATACCCCGCCCATCTGGCTGAGTTTCCCCAGCCACTCTGTGCGGCTCCCAATCGAGTGTTAAAAACAATACAGCATTAAATATCCTATGCATCCTATGCATGCTTGTTTAGAAGTACATATCATTGTGGCTTTCTCCCTAGTAAGTATGTTTTAAGGACTGTAGCCTCAGGTTTCTTATGTTTCTTATGGCACAGCACACAGAATGGAAATTACTGGCATAGATGGAGACCTTTTGCGGGGGGACCATTTGTGCTCAGAACTCTTCTTTACCTTGAAGCTAGGTTACTTGCCCATGGGCAAACTTCTGGAGAATGCGTGTCAGTTGTGGGAGCAGTCAAAGTGAATGTAGTTAGACACACACACACACACACACACACACACACACACACCACTATCTATCCTCCATCCAGGCAAGCAAGAAGTATTATCACAGTTCAAGGGACATTCCAGCCATATGTAGTGGCAGATGCAGAGCATGGCTGTTGAGGGTCATGGCCAGTGGGTGAGTGTCCTGTATAGAGTCCTGAGGGCTATAAGGTCCCATTCATCCCCCAGGCCTAAGGTGCTCCACCCCTGGTATAATCCAAGGAACCCTCACCAAATATCACATCCCATTATAATGACCCAACACAAACAACATGGAAAAGGAAAGAGGCACGAATAAAAAATGGATTCTCTAACCTGCAGAGCAATGAGAAACTGTAGATTTTATCCTCATCAGTCAGTATTTTAGAAAAAAACGAATGTTATAGAATCATAGAACTTTAAAATTGGAAGGGACCCTGAGGGTCATCTAATGCAACTCCCTGCAGTGCAGGAATCTTGCCCACAGCTGTCCCTCGGTGGGCTCAAACCACCAACCTTTTGGTTAACAGCCACATGCACTAAACCACAGCACCACAGGAGGGCCCCAAGATGTATGTAACTAGTCAATAAAATTTCCACTGCTGTTCCTAAATAAAAAAACATCCATGTGTCTTTGTGCATTATATAAGTATGGATGATTTATTATTACTACTACTACTACTACTACTACTACTACTACTAAGTATTACTTATAAAGTTGCCTGGATGGCTTAAAAATTTCCTGGGTGGCTTACAAGCAAGAGATTATTTTAAAAATACTGAATTAATAATTAAAATCAATAAAAGACAAAAACTATATTTGCAACAGCAACAGCATAAATAGTCTGTAGCCAACTAAGTCCTACTCAAAGTTAGACCCGTTGATATTGATGTAATAAATTTAAGTCCATTGGTTTCAATTGGTCTACTCAAAGTATGTCTTATTTGGATATAACCCACAGCCTGGATTATACTGCAATAGCCCACAGTAGCCTAGAGCAGTATAAAACACAACTGCCAATTCAAACAGTTTGAACACCTTATTTCAAGTGCTAAAAAAAGATGCATTCACAACCGAGAAACAAAAAAATACCCCCAAAATGTTAAGCAAGCATTATATATTTCTCTGTTTAGACGACCAAAAAATACTTGATCCTTGGGACAGAAGAAATGTAAAATGATTGAGCATAATAGTATATAGTACATCCAAGGCTATTTAAATGTATATCTTATATAATAAAATGTGTGATGAAAAACAGAGCAGCTCTGAAGAATCATGACAACTCTGTTTAAAAAAAAATCATAAAAATATATCTGAAAAGTATGAATCCTTGAATTACTTCCTTCCATAACCTTTATTTTGTTGCACTGGCATTGTTCATAAGATGGATAAACTAGAGCCCCAGGTTAATAAAGATGTACTAAGCTTTTTCTAGGGAATCCAGAGGCAAGTTAGCAAACATCAGCATAAAATATGAAAACTGAGTGATTCATCACCATCAACCCTGGATGTTTTTTAAACAGTTGGGGGGAAGGGGGGGGGAGATTACACAGAACAGATACCACATTAAGCCATAACTTAATAGCAGTTCAAGAAAGAGATCAGGATTTTAGCATGGAGAAGCAGCCAAAAATGTGAGGCACAGGAAATATGCCACTTTCATTTAGGAAAATAATGAAATGTTGTTCAATATGACTATTTAAAACAATTGTCATCATAGCACTGAAAAAGATACACTGCTGCTTTCTTTGGTAATAATGCTACTACCAAACAGATGCATTATGAAGACTATTTACATTTTTTTTAAAAAAAGTAAAACTCTGTTGAGACATTCTCATTGCCCAAGCAAGGCCAGTGCCACAGTCTAGAACAGTTAGGTACTCTTAAGCCCATTGCTTTCATTGAGCTCCGCTAATTGTACCTATTAAATTAGCTCCTTCATTTCCCCCTTCCTGCTTCATCCCCCAACACCCCATCCAATCTTGTTGCAAAACGCCCAAAGAACACTTCTACTGGGTAGGGGAAGTTGAGAATGGGGTTCTGTTCATGCATATCCTGATCTGCACCTATTGCTTATTGCAGTCTTTGCCTTCTGAGTTCTAATTTGAATTATATTCAGGCTTGGAAACAGCACCAGGCAGCTCCCAGAAAATTTTATGATGGCAGGTACTTGACATTTGCTGGGAGTCAGTGTTCTGGAAATCCTTTTAACGTGCTGATCATATTGGGAAGTCACCAATTTGAAGAAGAAAAGAACCAAAACTTTTTTCTTTCTTTTTTTTCTTTTTTTTGCAAGTGGAACCACCATAACCATGAAAAAAAGTAGTGGATGACGGAAATGTAGTTGGGTCATTAGTGTTTAAACTACATACCATGGGAGAAAGTAATTGTCAAAGATTGGCAGTGTTGTATAGATTTAATACACCTTTGTCACGGCTAAAATGGCCGCTGTTTCTTTAATGTGAATAAAGCTGGGTCAGCATGAGTCAGCGGCCTGCACCAGGTTGTATATATAGAGTGAGAAATATTAGTTTGTTGCTGAGTTGGGTTGGTTGGTTGGTTAGTTAGTTAGTTAGTTAGTTAGTGAAAGCTGGTAGTGTTGGTGTGTACAGTTGGTCAGTTGCTTTTGCACAAAGACTTTTAAGAATAAAACTCTGCAAGGATACTTTTCTCATGGACTCTTTTATGCCGACAAGGGTCTGAGGACCAGGCTGAGGAGACAAAGGGAGGTCAGAACCCTTTCCTTTTTTCTTTTTCTTTTTACAAACACTGACAACCTTTTCTTTTTTGGCTTAGATTGAATAAGATCTTTTTTAAGAACCAGCTTTTTTTCAGAAGCCATGCCAGGCTATGATGGGATAGGAAGGAGGTGAGAAAGCCCTGTTGTGAACAAAGTACACTGCATGCACTTCCATGCCAGTAAAATCAGGATAAAGAAAAGGTCGTGTGCATCTGTGAACATGTGTTACTTCAGCATGACCTATTTGGAAAGAGTGTGAAACATTGGTGATAAGCCCTCGTGTGTTCCAGTTTATGATTAATATATGACTTTGAACCTCTGCAGTGATTTAAATATAGTTTATTGTATATCGCTTTGGATTTTTTTAAAAAAAGAGAAAACCCATAACCCCACTTAGGATGGGGAAGGGGTAGGCTGGCACAGTCACCTCTCCGCCAGCAGAGAGAAGTGGTGCTGGTTGGGGATGCAGGTTCTGGGGCAGTAGAAGCTCTGAGTTTCATCCTGGTGGGTGGAATCCAGCAGAAAACCCCCAAACAGGGCATGAGTGGGGTCAGGGACTGAGGGCACCAGAGAGTTTGGATCTGCTAGATTCAAGTCTCCTCCCGATATGCCATCCTGGAGCTGACACACCAAAACAAAAAACACAAAAAAACCTACTGCCTGCACCACCTTTCTGCCTGGCCAGCAGGAGTCAGCCGGACAGGCAGCAGTAAATTTGCCACTCCACATCTCCCTAGTCCCTTGTTAGAATTGCTCTGCCCACACGGCATTTATAAAAACTAGAAATCTCAGCAGTAGAAATATAACAACTTATTCACAGAGCAGGGAATCCTAGCTTCTACTTTTTGTGTGCTTGTAGCATAAAAAAGGGTTGCTTAAAGTGGTAGATTAGCAGATAAATTGTGAAAAAGAAGCAGCAGATGAACCTCCCTTAGAATAACATATCATTTCCTTCTGTAGTTCTTTGTTATTAGTCCCACTGTTGTTCATTGACTGTTACACCACTGGCAAGGGCTTGGCTTTTGTTTTTAATTGTATCTAGAATATTATGCACTTAATAAATAATAAGTCATCATCATAATTTTAAATGCATTTTTGTCAAACACAAAATGAATGGTTTGGTTTAATTGCAATTTAATTTTAGGGTCATGTGAATTGATTATATTTGGAGTGTACTGTTTTAATATGAAAAAGAATTTATCACCCACCTTTCACCAGCAGGTCTGAGGGTAGGTTTGGACAATTTGAGAATCAGTATTAAAAACAGTTAAATATAGCTGTGATTACTGCATTGCAGAGAGTTGGACTACATGATCCTTTGGGTCCGTTATAACTCTGGTTCTATGAAATCACAGTCGCAGGAGCAGGGTTAGGGTCCTGAAAAACACGTCTCATTTGTGCATGTGTGATTTTACCAAATGTCATATACATCACTTGATCTGTGTTTAAGGTTTACTCACAATGGAGTACATGAACTTGCTATTATTTCAGTGTCAACGATACAGTGCCCACAGATACCAGCATGCCTGCTAGTACTTCCTATGGTGAAAGGTCTCAGAATATATATATTTATTTATACAGTGTTTTACCAAATTTATAAACCTCTTCGCAGATTGAGGCCATCAAAGCAGTGTACAACACAATAAAAAGTAAGATAAATCCAAATTCTGAAAACAATTTAAACCATTTCTGCAAACTCTATAGATGTACAATTAATTTTTCACAAATGACTGGATCACACCTCAGGTGCCTAAACAGTGGACACCTGTCTCATAATTAATTCCAGAGATCTGGAGCTGCAACACTAAAAGCCCATTTTCTAAGTGGACTTCCAGGGCAGGTGATACTCTCAGCAGCGCCGAATCTGGGGAGCACAGTTGCCGGACAGGGATATAGCGGTGGGGGTGGGGGGTGGCTTAGGTAAGTTGTTTATGGTTCAAAAATACATGATAACATGTTAGTTCTTCCTGCCCAGTTCCTGTTTGCACAGGCTCAGACTCTTCTACACTGAACACACACCATTAAACTTCACTGGATTCCAGGATTAGATACCCACCTTCCCATTTGTTTTGAACAGAGGAGAGTTGCAAAGAGCTCCTCTCTCTTGAGTGTGGCAGTGGCTGATTTGGGTACCTTTCCCACTAATTAATGAGGTTGCTGACAGGTGAGTGATATGCCCACACCATTTTATGTTCCCATCTCCTTTTCTGCTCTTTTAGATGTGGTTGCGCCTTCAAAGTATCTACTGTGTGTTGTGTCACAACCATGGAACCATTTTGTGTTGCGTCACACCCCAATGGCATCTATTTTATGACTGGTGCCCATGGCACTTCCTCAAAATTCCAGGTGGGGCCCAAAGCTTGGTGACCCTTGAAGAGAACTGTTCAAAGGACAGTGATTCCAACTATGAGTGTGCACACAGCAATGATGGATGTAGCCCTTTCAGAAAATCATCAGTCATACTAAAACCAAGTGTTTGACAAGTTGGGGCCTAAATCCAGCAACATCTACCTCTTCTGGAAGGCTGTTCCAGAAGCTAGGTATGGAGATGATTTCTGTGTACACTACCCATCATTGTGTACTATTAGGGCTATGCCTATGTCCAATCACATATGCCCCCAAGCAGAATCTGCTATGGTACATTTAAAAAAAATCATTTCTCAGATTTGGAAAGCCTTTTCAAACATTTGTTGCAGTATAGTATGGGAAGGAAATCTTAACTGAATCACATAGGAAAACGACAGCAAGTATATAAAGGCTATAATCTGTGAAGAGATAAATAGAAGCCACATATTTCAATGCAAAGAAGGATGCCAATATTCATTAAGTTCTTCAAGAAGGAGGGAAACATCTGAAACACTACACTCCTGGGAATCCCTTATGAACAGTCCATGTATTTTAAAGATGTAAATCTTAGGAAGAGTAGCTTATGTTCATGGCAACTGAAACTGAAGGCGCTGTGTTTTGTAACTCTCTCAGCCAAAGAAGACAGATAACTATTTTGGCTCATATTACCAACGATGAGGCTATGTCTAGCTCTGATTTTCCACAGATTCTACAATCTTGGCCTATACCAAAACATTTAAATTGACTTTACCATAGATCGTTCATCATGATTCCATCTTCTCTTTGCTTTTTCCTCCTAAACAACCCAGGTTGCATCACTGCTAAAAGTCTGCACTTATGGATGCATAGAACGCCATTTATTGTCTTCATTCTACTTTCAATATTTCTGTTTAAGCCAGGGGGTTTCCTCCTCCACCACCACTCAGATCCCTAAAGAGTAACCTCTTCCTTGCTTTAATTACTTGGATCTCAGACAAGGTTTATATGCTTCTTCATTTTGCAGGATATTTTCTCTAGAAGAGACAAAACATCATATCTAAAGAGGAAATTGCAGACAATGAAGGAGAAAAGTCCGAAATGGCCTCCCAAAAAAAAAAAAAAAAAAAGGCAGAAGTGGGTATTGTATTGAGATTTTTTTAAAAAAAAAAATCAAAACCATGTAATATGATGGATTGTTGAGAAACTTGGTATACTTTGCATTTTTTCTCTCCTGTGAGTTACATGCCAGATGTCAAAGGTACCGCTGGAAACATTGGCCTCAGTTCATTACCATGTTACCGTTACATTTTACATTACTATGTAATGTGAATTTTATCCTGCACATTTTTTTTTTGCAATGTAACAAGTACCATATCTGAATGGGATGCAAGAGTACATTATTGTTATTATTATTATTTATTTGTATCCTGCATTTTTGCCTGACAGGGGCTCATGCAAGTCTGCAAACACATTACATGGGTCATACAATAACATTCACCAAGGAAGCAGCTTAAGAATCCTTTAATCAGTTGGAGGTATGTGCTGTTAATATTATTCCCATCTGTGCTCAAACTATCCAGCAGAGATGGGAAAACTGTGCACTTCCAGATGTTGTTGGGTTTGCACTTCCATCAGCCCCAGCCAGTGGTCAGGGATTATGGCATTTGTGGTTCAATAACACCTGGAGGGTCATGGGTTCCCAAGCCCTGCAATAGAGGATATAACAGTTTGATACATCCTAGGAGTAGGGCTTATTTGCTTTTATAAGCTTACCAAGATGAATAGGTAGCATCATTAACTTACGTTTATTCGCAACGGATTGCAACCACACCACTGAGATAACAACAGGTTTCGATTTTCAGTCATCTTAGCATGACTTTATATGTAGCAGTTTCCATATAATAAATGACACGTTTTCTCAGTGCTGCCATAGCAACATAAACAATGCGCTCCATCATACTGTTCTCACTGTAAATTTGCTTACTGGCCCAATTTTATTTCCTTTCTTTTTTAAGGGGGGGGGACTCCTGATGTCCAACACACAGAAAATGAGCTGAAATAGAAAAAGTGTTGTTTTTTAATTGCTAGCATATGCAGTGCTGAATCATTTGAAACAAGTAGCACTGAATAAAAGTGCTATCTAATAATGCTACCTCCCCATAATTAGATAGTATACATTTTGGTTAAGATTTCCAGTGACATGTTAGGATATCTCTTGCACTATAGGTTAATCCATTTCTGTTTAGTGTCATGTCAAACTCACATTACTTACACTCTATCTTTATTTAGTTTTCAGCTCACTCCAGGGCTTCTGTATAATAAGTACATACTATGTCTGCACATGCTGGATTTGGGGGGGGGGGGGAGACCTGGATGAGCAACTACTTCTTCATCTTTATGTCTCCCTTCCCACTATTTTTTTTTTTTAGAAAGAATCTCTTGACAATAATTGATTATGTGTGGATGGGGAATGCTCAGATCTAATTTTTCATGCTTCTGTTAGGGCTTGGTTTCAACAAATACACAAAGCATAGTCAGGAAAAACTAATTCAGAACCTCAAATGAGAGGGTGTGGAGGAATTCCAACACAGAGAAATGCGCACTTAACACACGTTGGTCTCAGTGAGACTAAGTGAGACTAACTCTTCCAGTTGCAGCTAGGCTGTTTGAACTGTGGGATTTCAGTCCACAAATAAATATTGTTAAAAGACAGGATAAGGAATTTTGCTTTTCTTCAAACCAAAATTATTTTCAACATGCTAACACCAGAAGGATCCAACTATTAGCTATTACAGTGGTACCTTAGGTAATCGACGCCTCTGGTTACAAACACTTTGGGTTACAAACACTTTGGGTTACAGACTCCGCTAACCCAGAAATAGTACCTCGGGTTAAGAGCTTTACCTCAGGATGAAAACAGAAATCATGCGGTGGCGGCGCAGTGGCAGCAGGAGGCCCCATTAGTTAAAGTGGTACCTCAGGTTAAGAACGGTTTCAGGTTAAGAACGGACCTCCAGAACAAATTAAGTTCGTAACGAGAGGTACCACTGTAGTTATTTAATACTGATCTATCTTTTTAAAAATAAAATAAAACACTGCAGCTTTACTCTCAGAAGATGTAAGTAAACACCTTGCCAGAAAAAAGCAATTACATATAAATGAAAATAAAGCAATTATAATTATTTAAAATATAGTGAATCATTTTTTCCATTCATTTGTGAAAATGCATTTTCTTATTTTCTCTCAAATGTTGATTTCAAATCTACACACCAGATACAAATATCATTTATAACTCACACAGTCGAAAGGTTCTACTCCACCAAAACATGCTAGCCAACATTAAATTCTGTAAGTTGTCCTCTGATTGCTATACTTATAATGACCTTCATCTCCCCACTCTGTTCAAACTTCAGGAAAGAAAGGAGTGCACTGTCTATAACCGCCCCCATATCCTGCCTGCAGCCTCATCAAATATCTTTAGTAGCATGCGGCTCCTTCAAGAAGGACTTCCTGCTTCCAGGGTAACAGGAAACAATTTCTGGGCAAGCAGTGGCCAGACTGGAGCCCACTCCCTACAGGTGGGAGAGAACAACAGTCCGGTCCATAGGGAGGAAGCTAAGGAAAATGGGAGGGACAGCGGAAAAGCAAAGGCAAAGGATGTAAGATCTATGAGAATCCAAGGTAATAAAAGTACGCGAGAGACAGAAAAAGTATAAAGAAATGGGGAGGAAGATTAAAATAAGACATTTGAAAAGGGATGGAGAAAAGGAAAGCGTGGGCTGTGGCATTGTTACTGTCAGGAACCACTGTGGCTGGAACCGGGAGCCACTTTGGCTTTGACCTGAGCTCTGTTGCTCTTTTTGTGAGCAAGCAAGGCCACAGATTAAATCATCTCTAGGCCCACAGTCCTGCTTCAGGCTCCAGAGTGACACAGCCCATCCAAGCGGACCACTGGTCTCTTCTGACCTGGCAAAGCTGTAAAAGCTTCCAGATCAGCCTTAGGGTTTCCCCTCTTTGGGGCCAGTTGACTGAAAAATAAAGGGCCAAACGAGGTTTTCCCCACCTATCCACCCTCCGTTATGTATCGTAAGTGAATAAAATCCTGTTGTATTGGACCCTCCCTCCACACCCTTTTCAAACTGATGAACTTTAGCACTTGGGTCTATTCCAAACCCAGAGAACTCAATTCCCCAATCCCAGGCATCACCCAGACCCCAACATCTGGTATCCCTGGTCAGGCTTGGGTTTATACTAGGCAATAGTCAGCTTGGCTTTTTCCATGTGATTACTATGCCCAAACTTTATTTTTCTGTCTGCTGGCCCTGTTCCTAGGTGCTCTCCATCTCACCAGCTCCCTGCGACACAGCCCTGCAGTTTTGGGAGGGCTGGATGCAGTAGGCACAGATTTTGATCAGGTCCATTTATGGAGTTATTCCAAAAAGCTGCAAGTTTATTCAAGGTGTATGATTTTGTTAAGAAATGCTGGTGAAAAATAGTGTCACTGTTCTGAAAGTCACCCCAAAAATAAAAAGGCTGGTTAGGCCAGAATACCATCCACATCAATGAATGAATACTGTCACAGCCAAGGCATCTATGGGACTATCAGGCTGCAGTCATATACCGTATTTTGCGCTCTATAAGACGTACTTTTCCCCTCCTAAAAAGTAAGGGGAAATGTGTGTGCGTCTCATGGAGCGAGCCCTTCCCCCTCCTCGGGGAAAAGTCCCCAAGAGCCACACACACACACTCCGCACACTCTTTAAAGGGAGCACAGCTCTTGGGGGAGCCTTAGCCGCGTGCAGCCTCTCCCGGGCAGGGGATGAAGGCTCCCCTTGCCCGGGAGAGGCTACGCGCAGCCAAGCAAGAAACCAGGACAGCCAGCAGGATCACTGCACAGCGATCCTGCTTGCTGTCCTGGCTTCTGTGATTCAGAATATTTTTTTTCTTGTTTTCTTCTTCCAAAAACTAGGTGCGTCTTATGGTCTGGTGCATCTTATAGAGCGAAAAATACAGTATGTTCTTACCTGAGAGTAAGTTCAACTGAACTCAATGGGACTTACTTTTGAGTAGACATAAATAAGATTTCACTGTACATCAATGGATACTGTAAATCTACAAGATTACACCAGTGTAAGTGAAAGTATGATTATCAAAAGTGCTTATGACTGCACCATATTTTTTTCAAATGTTATAAAATGAATGCAATCCGCACCTATAATGTGTTATATAAATGCTTCTCGCTCATAATAAATTAGATAATATTGCTCTCTTGTGCTCTTTAACTGCTTAACACGCTCAATAAAAAAATGGTTTTATTGAGCATTTCAAAATCTAACACACACACAAACATAAACAGCCAGGATGTCAGTGACAAATATCCACATGCTAAGAAGTTTAATATTTTGATAAGTTGTTTTATCAAAAAATAAATTATTTCATAATTCTGCAATATAAGATTGATTTAAAAACAAAACAAAAACATAAACCTTACCCCTTAAGTTGAGATCCCAAGTTCATTTGATTCCATGTCATGCATTCAAGCTGTGAGGTCATTTGGTATAAATTGTCACTGTTACAAAAATATTTAAAGTTAGAACTAAAGTTATGTGATCCAGTTCAAATAATTTGTTTTAACTGAGAAGCAATATTCTTATTTTCTTCTTTAAAAAAAACATTTCAAAAATAAAGGTAAACCAGTTTAAAGTAATTTATTGCTTTGCCAGCATGGTGCTTATCTGTAAGGCTGAATTAAAAAGAAAGAAAAGAATAAAAAAAGAGGAGGATATCAGAGGAGAATATATCATACTACTTTCAGGGCAGCATTCAACTAAGTTTTATTTAGAATAGACTCACTGAAATTAATAAACAAGACTAAGTTAAGGTCATTAATTTCAGTGGGTCTACTCAGAGTAACACTTAGTTGAATACTTCCCTTATAGTGTTTTTAAAATGTCCATAAAATATGATATAACGAAATTAGTTCTGCAAAGAAGAAAAACATTACATGCAATTAAATTACAGTATTTATAGACCCATAACAGCAAATTATTGCTTTGGGGAAGCTGGGGTGGAATTCAGCATCACGCTCTTTTGATCGGAACCCTCCTTTCCTTTCCCCATGTGATGTTCTGGGGGTTCTCCAGGATCCCTCCTCATCAACCTTTAGGGGTGTAGGGGTATGGAGGAGGAGAGGATGGAAAGCCCTATAATGCAAGTAGAAGTCCTTCTTTAGGGCTTCCGCTGATGGGGCTTGTTAGCTCACTTCCACCTATATTTTTTTACTCTTCAATGAAGACTGCAATAGTTAATTAACTGAAACAGCTATAGGGATAGGTGATTAATATTGCTTCCTAAAGTAACTTGACTCCAAGTAAAAAAAACCCATAAGAACCTGAACTTCAAACTGGGCTCCACCAGCTATGAAGTTTGTGAACACAAATGCTTTTTATTGTTTCACTTTTATTATTATTAAAACATTCTTAGGTAACATCACCTTAATGTTATTAATATAATATCTGGTGACTATTCTTGGGGCATTGACGTGGGCAAAAGGTGGTATGTAAATGTTTCTATTTTTAAAAAGGAGAACTAAAATAGCTGCAGGACCCATTACATGATTGTCATTGGACACTTCCACCCCATAACAGCAGGTTAGTACTGTAGTGATCCAAGCAAATACTTACTGCACATAGGTGCCAACTCCCTGAGGCCCTGGGTGCCCAAGCACCCACAAAATTACTCACGAAGCGGCCACACACCTACAAATTTCGGTTCTATGGTCATGCATGCTGCATGGGCACCCACAGCCCCAGGTAGCCACAGTCGCAGGGCCACACTGGTCTCCTGTTACTGCATAGTTCTTTCAGAGGACTAATCCTTACATGGAAATGCTCCCATTTCCTTGGAGCTCTTAGGAGAAAAGTACTTTGGCTACCTCATGAGAAGAGAAGACTCCCTGGAAAAGACCCTGATGTTGGGAAAGATTGAGGGCACAAGGAGAAGGGGACGACAGAGGACGAGATGGTTGGACAGTGTTCTTGAAGCTACCAGCATGAGTTTGACCAAACTGCGGGAGGCAGTGGAAGACAGGAGGGCCTGGCGTGCTTTGGTCCATGGGGTCACGAAGAGTCGGACACAACTAAATGACTAAACAACAACAACAAACAGCTAAGATCAACTTTCTTACAAGTTGCTAAAGGAACCTTCCTGGTGAAGGAAAAGAAGTTACCTTCCTTGATTCTCATTCATACTTGCATCAGGGGTAAGACAACATAAAGCCCCAGGGCCATATCAGGTACCCCAAGGCTTTCTTGCAGCCTGCACATAGCCCTGCTCTGCTATCAGACATCCATTTGCCCCTGTTCTTTGTTATCAGAAAACATTATTCTGGGGAAAGTCTTGGTGTGCTGGCCATTCACTGTGAATTTTGAGATACAGATAGATAGAGGTAGAGATAGATACACACAAACACACACACCACTATAAATCACCAAACCTTTCTAAATTTAATTAGAACTAATTTCACTCAAATATATATTTTTATACCATTTTCTCTTCAGATTTCACTGGACCACTTTTAATATACACCCTTAGAAGCAAAGAAATAAAGTTAAATGACTTCAGCTGCGAAGTATGTGTAATATCATTTGTCATTACCGCTGAATACTATTATTCATGAGAGTGTCTAAACTGCTATTATGTGACTACAATGTCCTGCATATCAGCTCAGAAATTGTTAAGACTCTCCTGCAGTTTCCCCATTTGCAACAGCAGCTCGTGCTGGTCTGTGCCACTACATTTTGCAATTCCATGAATTCTTCCTGTAATGCTGATGTAATTAATTCCTCCAGGGCCCTGATTTTTATTAGAAGCGCCAGACCTCTGCATTTACAGCAGGAGATTTTCCTTTAACTTTATTTCATTTGACAGTTCATTTATAAGGGCCTCCTCCACAAGATCTCCTTTTTTCCTTCATTTGCTTTTTCATCAAGTAATACACTTACTCATCTTGTCACCAGCAGAAAGCCACTCAGGTTGCCAGGTCCAGGCCCTGAAATGACTTGTATGTATATTTTTATGAGTTACACTGAATGGAGATTTCTGCTAGGGCAGCGTTTTCATCTTGCAGTGCTGTAGTGACAGGAGTAGCCAGACCATATGCATTTTTTGCTTGAATGGAAAACCCATTTTTATATATGTGGATACAGGAGAAAGCAATTGCCAAAAGGATTTAGAAATCGGGACAATTTTTGAACTCAGGCACAGGTTGCAGTATCTTAAGAACCTAAGCAGAAGCCTGCTAGATCAAAGCAGGGATCCATTTAGTCCAGCATACAGCTTCCCACAGAGGCTAACCAGATACCCACTGGGTAACCACAAATAGGTCATGAAGGAAGGCAATACATCTCAAACTGTTGCTTATGAACAAGCAGGTTCCAGGTAGCCATCATAACTAATAACCATTGATAGAAAGACTCATGGAGCAAAATCAGTCTACCGGTAACTGCCTTTCCAAGCCATCTAACCTAAAGGTTGCCACCAAATTAAATAGCAGTGAGTTCTATACATTAATTATGCTTTTGTGGAGTACCTAGTTTCTCCAAAATCTGCTGTAAAATAGTTTCATTGAGTAACCTCAAATTCTGGTGTTATAGTAGGGAGAAAACTGCTCCCTATCCACTTTGAGAACACTATTCGTGGTTTTATATCAGGACCTCCCTTGCTCACATTTTTCTAAACTAAAAAACCTAAAATGTTTAAACCTTTCCTCATTTGGAAGCTGCTCCTAACTCCTTGGTCATTTTAGTTGCCCTTCTTTTGCACTTTTCCTAGTTCTACAATATTATAGATCCATGCTATTGACTCTAGCTAAGCGTTCAGTATTCTGTCATTATAAAACCTGAAAATTCTGTTTGTCATGCAGTCAGGACAACTTGTATCTACTTTGTATGGAGAAGCAACTAGTGAGGGGTATAATCTGACCAAATGTTTGTTTATTTATTACACAAATTTATAGGCTGCTTCACAGTTTAAAGCCAGCTATGCATTGAACATGGTAAAAACTAAGCAAAACACAGATATGGATGCTCTAAGAAAAATAAAATCAATTCAATGAACTCTAAAAACAAGAAAACAGACCATGCAAACTCTAAAAAAAACAGTGAGAAACAATTGCATCAGATATAAAATTGATCTTCCAAAAATTGCTGGGTTGAAAATCTTGAAAATTCTGATGAAGAATGGATAAGTTATATACCAATTTTTGCACTACAGCCTTCACACTGTTTTCGTGCCTATCCAAAACATACATTAAATTTACCCTGTTGGCAGTTTAGATTGTTTCGAAAATTGAATGGCATTATGCCTTTTGCCAGTTTAGTGAAAATCCAGTGTGTATTGCTTAAGTTTTGAGAATTCAAAGTTTCTGTTTTAATCAATCATTTAAGTGAGGCAGGGGTCACCAACCTTTTTTGGACCCATGAACACATTTGCAAACAAGAGAAACTGTCATGGGCACCACACATTAGCAGTGTGCATTGGCTGCATAGGCAGAATAATGAGACAAATTGTGGTGATTTGGGGGTCCACCCACCCCCCTCCAGGGTTGAAGCACAATGTCAATAAACCCCACTGGGTAGAATCAGGGCTCCCAAAAGCCTCATGTTGTCCTGTCACTCTGTTGTTGTTTTTCTTCTATACTTTTCTGAACTCTTAGCTTTATATTTTTCTATATCTCCTTGTTTCTCTAGTCTGTGGACTTTGCAAGAAGTGAGGCTGTGCAAACTGGTTCCTGCAGAGCATTGAAGAACTCTGGATTATTTGTTAAAGCACAGCAGTAGAGGATAAAAAAAAAAGTTTAAAGCATCATTGACTTTTTAAAAATCCTGTGTTGCTCTGCTTTAACACACACATAAAAACAGAGCTTCATGCTTACGGTCTGTTGGAGGCCTGAGGACACAAGCAAGTCCTGGATTTATTTATTTTTAAATGTACAAGGAAGAATATACAATTCTTGGCCACCTATTAATTATTTTAAGGTAAAAAAGAGCAAAAAAAAACCCTCTCTCCCTCTGCTGAAAACATAATGTTAATATGAACAGTGGAGTCCAAATGGCCTAATAAAGACATTGCCCTAATACAGTTTTTATAGAGGAAAGCTCCTGACAAAAGCCCCTTGACCAATTTGTCTGAATTTTGGCAGACTTAAATTTGTGCCTGTAAATATCATCCACTTTGGACAAAAGGGGGGAAAGGAAATCACAATTTTTAAATTCCTGATTATGATGAATGGGGACCAGAAAGCTTTGTTTTACGCAGAATGGCTCAGAACTCAAAGGAGAGATCAAAACTTGATAGAGCACAGAGCAGGGGTGCCAACTTGAATAAACTATTGGGGGACCCGGGGGACCCCTGCCCCACATAATTGATAGTAAGACGTGGAGCACACACACCATTTGAATGGCAATTCCGTTCAACTTGGGGGGGTTGGCCCCCTCAAATATTTTATTGGGGGAGCCGAAGGGACCTTGTTGCTAGGAGTTGGCTCCTATGGCACAGAGCGAATGAAAAAAAGATAAGTTTTTTTTTTTTTAATGCACAGATACTAGGCCAGTATTGGGTCTTATGCACACATCCCTAACCACACACACACACCACAAACAAGCAGTGTAGCAGACCTCTTTGTTTCCATGATGGGAAGGACCCAGTGGGCACATGTAATGCCTCTGTGGATGCATGTTCACCCACTGGTGCCACATTGGTCACCCTTGAACTATGGACAAGTATTGTGGCACATGGCTGTGTAATTGATTGAAGCCTGCCTCCCAGAAGAAAAAACAGCTGCTGTTGAAGTGAGCAGGCTGTAAAGTGGAAGGCAATACACAGGGGTGTAAATGCTGCAATTGTGCAGACTCATTAACATATGTAATATAACCCTAAGACTGCAATTTGAAGAGGAGAGTTTCTGAATGGCTAATGCACAGTAATTGATTGCAACAGAGCACCTGCGGATACATATATGGAAAAATAACAAATGAGATAGTGTCAATGCAACAGGTCACTTCTACAGTAGGACCTTTGCCTTAAAAGATACCTCTTCTGACCAGAATGATCAGATTATTCCCCTAACCGTGCAATCAATCTACTTAGAAGTTAGGCCTATTAAATAAATTGGGAATTACTCCCAGGTAAGTGTGTATAGGAATGCAGCCCAAATATGCTGTTGCTAGTTTCTGTTTCTACTCCAGTCATTCATGACAATGAACCAGAATAGAAGCCTGGATGATCCAGAGAATGAGCGAGTGAGGAAATAAATAAATACTGTTTCTGATTTATGAGGGAGCAGAAAATAATTCCATGAGCCCTCTATTATGGCTAGAAGAACTTCTGTCATATAACATAGTGTTGTGAGTGGTTGAGGGCTTAGGCTGTATGCCTGAGTGCCTTCTATTTTTTTTTTTATAGTTGATATTTATTGAATTTTCAGAAAATAACAACAAAAATTTCCAAAAAAAATTTAAGGATACAAAAAACAAAATTAGTGCATAAACAAAAAAGAAAAGAAAACCCAGCCGCAAAGAAAAAAAAAGAGAAACAGAAAAACAAAAATATAAAGTCCTTTACCATCTCTATTGACTTCCTTTCTAGACTTCCTCCTCCTCCCCTCTTTTGTTTCTTAATTTTTAATTTTTACAGCAAATCCTTTCTGTTTTTCATAACAATCTGTCATTACGTTTCCTTATTCTATTTTCCCTCTTGTCATATAAAAACTTTAAAACTCATAGCTTATATTCAATATTTACCAAATTCTTGCATCATTACCTTTTTACGAATCATTTACCAATCCTTACTTAAGTCATGTAATTTCATTCAACATCCTTCAAACATTTGTAAGCATTCCCAATATTAAAAAGTAAAAAAGAAAAAATAATAAGTCAAATTCAGTCCAGTCAGCTTCCAGCCTCCCCTCCCCTGGACCCGGGATTGTCAGTCCTTTTAACCTCGGTAATCCGGCTCCTTAACCTGGTTGTCTCGTATCCGAGGCCCTCAAGTCTCTTTCTTGCCCCTTTCGCCACTCTTGTTGATGATTCCTTTCCAGTCGTGGATGCTCCAGCAAGAAAATGCTTTTGACCCTTTGCAACAAGTCCATCCCAAACCCATTGCCCAAGCCAGACAGCAAATAATACCACTTCAAATTTCCACAAAGCTTGGAGACTTCGACTACTCCAATCCTCTGATAGCCCATCACCAGACTCGGAAGGTCCAAATAACCATATGGAGGGGGTCGATCCATCCCCCCATTTCCAAATCTGACCACATTTCATCTTTCCGAATCTGGTTTGTCCCAAGTTCATTTATCAAGTTCAAAGGCTGATCTTGCCCGTCCAAAGGTCCCTCCATCTCTGAAGCCTCCGTCACTACAGCAGGTTCATATGCTTGTATAGCCTTTAACTGAATTTCATTTGTTTGCTGCTGTGCTCTGGTAGCTTCCATCATCAAGGTCGTCTCCTGACGCATCTGGTCCAGCTGGGCACTTAGTTTTGAAAAACCTTCCAGGAACAATTGTTCAAGCCTTTGTACTAGCATTGTCCTTCAAGGTCAAAGAAAATTCTTTCCCACGAGAATAGTCCAATAGTCCTTCTCTTTTAATCTCTCTGCGTTGCAATTTCACTAAATTCCACTAGATGGAAATTTTTTCTTTTTTTTAAAAGGAATAAAAGCAACAGCAACAATCTTTCTTTTTCCAGAAACACTTTATCCAAAATCCCCCTTCCAAATTCAAGAGGCAACAGTAGAATCAAAATGTTACCCTTCTTTTAACTAACTGTCGAGCTGGATAAACTTCAGAACGTCAATTCTGACAGCCCGCTCCTGGTTCAGGGCGGTGGAAAATTGCTTTATTTTAAACTCACTTCCGCAGGATTGAAAAGTCCAAATACAACCCCCTTTTTCTCCTGCAGTCAAAGGGGGGGTTCAGAAATCTTAGATGTTGAATTCTAGTTCTCTTAAAATTTAATTTTCAGGCTTTAGTATATTTTGTCTTTGCTTTCTTCACATAACAAAAGAACGGAAGGCGACTTCCTGTTTAGACCTTCCCATTCCGAGTCCCAATTAAGTTCAATTTCAAGTCCAATATTATTTGTTTATTCACCAGTCTTAAAAGTGGTTCAGCTCTTCCAAGATCAGGTACTCACGGATAGATGTTTTAGATGCCAAATTGTCCAGGAAAAAGGCAGCGCTCTCCGATAACGGCAGTGCGGCTTTGCTGCACGGAGGAAGCAGACGACTCACAGCACCACGCACCTCCCACTCCGGAGCCCGTTACCGGGCTCCTGTACCAGGGGAGAGAGCGCTCTCGGTGCCCGCCGAGTCCCACGTCCACAGGCTTCTTCCGCCTGTGGTTTTTGCGGGTCCCCGCTGCGCCGTAGCGGCAGGACCCAAGCCTCCGTGCAGCGGGTTCCCTTCAGTCCGAAGGGAATTCCGCCATTTTCCGGAGGCGCCACCCCGGAAGTCCTGAGTGCCTTCTAATTCCTAGATGCAGCTGGAATAGCCAGGCCAGCTTCTTGGTAATGCCTCACCAAGCATGTGGGTAGGCCTCCCTTCCCTCAACTGGCTGGTAGTTAGAAGGACAAAAGCCAGAGTTTTGTGGGAGAGAGCTGGGCTAGAAGCAGGAGGCAGGCAGAAGCCAGAGAGGGAGAGACATACATGATATATGCTTGAATCCAAAGCTATGACTATGGGAGACACAAGACCTTCTCTGGGCATTAATGCTGTGAGCCCCTCCATTGTTGGCTCAGGTTGAATATATGTGTAAATAAACCATATATCATAAAGACACCACAGTCTCCGCTGTCCCTCATTACGAGGAAACCGAACCCTGGGTCAGTGCCTGCAACCCCTGGAATCTTGCGCCACTCATAGATTGGGATGGCACACAACAATATTCAAATCTCATTAAAATTGGCTTACATATCAACATGCAATAGAATACCTTTTTTGAACCAATGGATCTATTCAAATATCTGCTTTAAATGAGTCTGAAGTACTAGAACTAATTGGAAATAATTGGATTGTTTCAATTATTATGAACTGAACCTCCTAAGCCACTGCAAAGAAGGTACTACAAAAGTCAGTCTTCCCTTCCAGAGATGTTTCGAAAATGAAGTAGGGGGAGGGGAAGACATTCATACAACAGGGATTAATGTCAGTTGGAGTGAAATAAAAGGAAGTTAACTTTAAGCAAAAAAGGGGGGGACTTAAAAGGAAACCAGTAGTAGATCATATAGAGTTTGTTTTGGCCTGTACTGCTGCCTACGAGTTCTTGACCTTGGTGCAGAAAGAGCTATAATCTGCGCTGCAACTCCTCCACTCTTAAAGTCTTTGTAAGTGTGACTCATAGTAAATTTTCAGCATTAAACATGTTTACTACATCAAACTGCATCAAACTGATACAGAAAAGTTCACAATGTCATTTTAATAGATCCGCAACTGTTGGATATCTAATGCATGTTTGGAGTCGGTGTTTCTTTGCCTTGTGCGCCTGACCATCAAACACCAACACAACGTTCTTGAAAAACAGATATTATGTTGCAGCTAGGGTTGCCAAGTCAACAATGAGGAGATTCCTGTCTGTTATATAGAACGAACAAATATATTTTTCCAGATACAGCTTTCCTACTTAACAGTTCTGCTATGACAGGAGAAGCTGTATTTGGACAAATTCCCCTTTTCAAATATTTCACTCATGCAGCGTAATCCCATGCAAGTTTTTAAGACTCGCTCAGTTCAATTCATAAACTGCATATACAAGTAGCCTTTCAAACATATAGGGCTTGTTTTTTCACAGTGTGTTTTTGTATGTAATGGTTTGTAATTGTACACACCTTCAAACAATAACTTCCTCTAAAGCAGCAGCTACTCTCTGTGTTGTCTATGTACACCGGAGGGCATGTTTTCCAACTAGTACACACTGGTGTTCTCTAGACCCCTCTCCTCAATTAGTGTGTCAGCTGAGTTCAGGTACTTTTCGCCCTTTCGAAAGAGAGAGGTGGAAACTGATGTGCTGATACACTGGTATTCAGAAGTATACAGAGGTGAGTAAGTCACTGTACTGTTTCCTATTTACTTATTTCGTTCATTGACAAGTTAAACATGGTGAGGGGGTGGCACAGCCCTGCAATGTCAGTAGGTCTGCCCCAGTAGGAGGTGACCTGACAAAGCACTCTCTCTGTACACACGTCTGTAGCAAGCGCTTGAGAAGTGCATGCTAGGCACAAAGCAGATTACAACGGTTTCAGCAAAATGTGCTTTGGATTGGCAAATAGTGCAGGATGGGGATGGCATTGGGATGATGTCATGCATACAGCACTCCAAAAAGGCACCTGTATCTAGCACTGGCTGCACGTTATCACACAGTGTGTACACACACTCATAGATAAAGGAGCTATCCTGGCAACTGTTCTTGCTACAAGGAAGAAACATTTACTAAAACAAAAGCAGGACACACAAAAAAGTCCACCATAATATTTGTACTGTGAAAAGTTATAGGATTCCTGTAGGAAGCTAGGGACATGCACAGATTGGAAATGAAGCTTCCTTGAAAAGGGAGGAGGTAGAGAGAGAGAAAATGGCATGGTGCATCTGCAGCAGCACAACTCAACACCTTCCAGCAGTTTTATTAAAGTGCTAACCAAGTCAGTAGGTGCTATGGCTTTTTAATAGTTACTGAAAAGTACAAAAGTACTTTCACCCTATGCTTTTGGGTACTTTGACAAAACTGTTTTTAGAAGTTGTTTTTTTGGCCATGGGTGGATCAAGCTGTTAAATGGAGGGACACTGAGACATACAGATTTGAACAGGTCTGCTCATGTTATAAACTGCAAAATGTATCTGCTTAGTACATAATCTGGTTGCTTTGTCAGAATTATGAGAACATCAGCATTAAATAATGTTTAGTCCACAGTTGCAAATAAACTTATGAAAACACACTGTAAATGATATTTTAAACCTCAGAAACAAAAACAAAAAATGGTATAAATTGGGGATCTAAAGATCAGATTTTTAAACAGGTCTTTGTCCACAGTACTAGGACTCCACATGTGCAGATGCACACATCAAGCTATGGTATCCCCATTTCCTGCTTCTTAGCAGAGCTGTCATGCCCATTGGTATAGTGCAGCAGGAACACAGGGGAGCAAAGCTCTGATACTGCTCTGCATAGAAAGAGCAGTGGTGTAATATGCCAGGACTTCATTTGCCAGAGCTGTAAGGGGTTTTTTTTGGGGGGGGGGATGGAGGACAGAATGGAAAGGCTCACCCAGTGACAAGCTCAAGTTCACTCAGTGAGTTTGATGTCTGAATGCAGATGTGAACCTAGGTCTCTCCAGCCCAAATCCAACACACAAACCAGTACACACACACCCGTTGCCAGATCACTATTCTGTGACTGCCATAGCTGATGTTAATAAAATGGGTTTTATACTATGTACTGTTGCTCTTTGGTGGGGTGGAGATGTATCAACAAGCTGCTGCATTTTTGCATTTTCCTCAGGGAGTGTGGCTGTGGGAACCATCATGAGAAGCTCCTGCACTTCAAAATGTACTGCTACTTGTTATGCCGTGGCCTTCAAAATGGAAATAATGGAAGCATCAGAGTAAGGACATGATGTAAGTGAGTGGGAGCACACCACTTTCTTGCTTAGGAAACAAATCTTCTGGAGCCTGTACCCCACTCCTTTGCTACTGGGCATTCTGCAGTGTCTTGGCATCGAGGAGTTTTCCATAGGAGGGTGGTTCTGGTCCAAAGAGGGCTCCTGTGCAGCTCAGAAGGCTTACTACCCAGTTTGATCAACAGGACTACTATCTCTAAAATAATGGAAGTTATCTTATTGAAATGCTAGCTGTTATTAAGTCAGCAGAATGAAGTATTATTATTTTTTCATGAACAAGTTACTGTGGTCACTGACAGGAATTGTGCTCAGTGAGTGAATGTCTTGCCAGCCAGTCATTAAATATTATTAATTGTGCTTCCAAAGATAGTATCCTTGAGAAATGTAGTCATTTCAGTTTCTCAGAGTTTGCTCCTCAGTTTTCATACTGAGTATCTTCATATCTACCACAATGGGAAGGCAAAACTAAACAAATTCTCAAATGGATGAAGAAGTAGGTTAAGGTGGTAGAGGCATTTTGATAACATGCATATTTGGTTTGAAATAGTAAGTCCCATTGAAGTGGTTCCTATGGAGCAACATCTTGACTTGTAGTACTGGGGTGCAAGCAAGGGGAGAGAGATGGCGGCCCCTCAACCAATCCAACCGGAAGGCCAGCTTATGAGGAAAGTAGTTTGCAGAAGGCTAATGCCAAAGCGAGGCCTTTGGAGTCAGCAAATCATGGTTCTGCAAGACACTCTTGGGCAACCTAAAGCAGAAAACCGCGCGGACTATGTGCGAGGCGAATCAGGTGAGAGATGCATTACTTGGGCAGAAAAGAGCTACCCTTAATCCGACAATAATAAATGGGACATAGAACCTAGGGAGCCTATTAGAGCCGAAGTCTTGGCTACACAATGCATCTCTTTCCGCTTCGTTTGCTGCCGCATTGCTTCTGGCACCGACCGGTGAGCGACAAACAGAGCCTGGAGGATACTTTGTTCGGTTCCGCTAACGGCTGACACGCCAGTCCTGCTCCACTCGGATCTCACTCATTAAGCTTAATGAAGCAAGAGCAGCTCTCGGCTCCGCGACTCCTGCAGAGCATCACCTCCGAAGGAGGAGAGGCGCTCAGGTCCGCGCGCCCCTCCCCCCCCCACCTTGACCCTCCTTACAGGACCCTTGTGGGGTTTCGCGGGGCGAAGACCTTTGATCTGCCCTGATCTGAAATAATGTAAGAGGCACAGGAGTCTCCGCAGCCCCGATTTACTGGAACCATGTTCAGGAGGGTACCCGACGCAGGCAGACTTGGGAGCAGGCTCCTTTAGAAACAGTGGAACTGACTGCCAATCATGGTGATCCACAGAGGTGCGCACTGCGCAGAGATGAGATTTGCTCCCCACGGTTATTCCTGTGTAACATCTCTCTTTCTCTCTCTCTCTCTCTCTCTCCATCCATTCGATCCATGCACCCCCTTTTTCCCCGCGTCTCCTCCTTCAATGACTTCAAGTCGGGCTCACTAGCAAAGGGGCTTCTAGAACTGAGCGGCACAATATCAATCAGTAGAGTTAGAACGAAAGTCCGCGTCGCTCTCCTTTGCAGGAGTACATTGTTTTTGCGCCGCACGTTTCTTAGCAGCTCCCTAGACATGGGACTGGTTCCAAGTTCACCAAAAGTTGAAGCATAGGTGGGAGAGAGCGGAGTGGAGGGTTTTGTTCGGGCTCCTAAACAAGCTCAAAACAAACTTAAAAGGTGCTTCGCTCTTCTCCCCTCGGCCTCGGGCCCGCTCCACCATCGCTTCAAAGCAAAGGGCAACAGCTACCGGTCCCAAGGCAAAGGGTAGCAGATGGGGGTTGTTTTGGTTTTTAAACGCCTGCTGGACGGGCCACAAAGCTAAGCCCGGATAGAATGGAAAGGGACGGTTTTGTTTAAAATCAACACAGCGTGGATGGCCTTGAGCGAGTGACATTTTCAACCTCGGTTCCCCCGTCGGCAGGGAAAGCAGAGGGGAAAGAAAAAGCTTATTAACTACCAACATCTCCTGTAGTGATGTTATTTCAGGTACTGCATCCCGCATCCGACTTTGAAAAAATGAGAATATTATTTTGCTGTGAAACCCCGCAGTTTGGTCTTTTTTCTCACAGTTGGTATCCATCTCTAGTAAGAGGCCGTTTGCGCTAATTAAACTTTACATCCCCAGAATTCCGGGATGCTGCCTATCTCAGGGACGCCTTGACATTTTGAAGTGGCTCCTATTTGGTCCTGCCATTCTGCGGTGGTGGAAGGGAACACACCCGGGTAACTCCCTTCCTCCTTTCTGTCAGAGAGATGAACTTTTGCCACAGACCAGAATGGAGAAAAATTAAGGAGCGCATCCTTTCCTTCGGCTTACTAATTAACAAATGAACGAGCTCCTTAGTTTTCCATATCACTGACAGACCAGGCACCCAGCACAGTTAAACTGAGTAATACTTCTGTGTCCAGCCAGATTGGTCCCATTAACTTCAGTGGACCCTAAACTGAACTTGCTTCCAAGGTCCTAGTAAACTGGACTGTGAGAAAAGGGTCGAGTTCCTTTCTAGAGCTGAATGCAGATTTATCAGAGGACAAGACACAAGGCCTTGGATGAAACACAGAATAAACCCAGTTGTTCCAGGCTTAGCACCAAACACAAGTAATTAATGCTCTATACAAAATACACCCATTTTGTGTCAGAAACCATTTTTTTAAACTGAAGAGGTTGGCTGGTTAATTGGGACATGAAAGCTTGGGCTACCATAAATTTATTCATCTTTGAGGTGCAACAAGATTCTTTTTTTGCTTTTGCTGCATTATCAAGACTAAATCCACTTTAAATGGTAGCCACTGTTAACAAATATTGGCCTAGAGTCACAAAATCCTTTCAATGAGAATTGAATGGGCTCGTTAGAAGGAAAAGTGGGATAGAAATCTATGAATTTAATTTTTTAAAAATTGCAACAAGAGTGGAGTAATTTAAAATAACAAAAATAGATACGGTGTTTGTTTCATTTATCTACCACCCTTCATCATGAGATCTCAGGGCAGTTCGTAGAATAAAATACTTGTTTACGAGACGGCAGGACTAGAATCAAGGGTAGAAACCGCAAGGGAATAGATTTTGGCCAAACATTAGGAGACACTTTCTAACTGCAAAAGGCTGTTCCATAGTGGATGAGACTGCCTCCGGTTGTGATGGGCTCTTCTTCCCTGGAGGTGCTTAAAGCAAATGCTGGAGGGCAGTCTGTCAGGGATTCTGGTAAGGAAAGGCATTGCACATCCTGCATTAATCCAGAGGCTTGGGCTAGGTGCTATCCAATGTACCTTCCAATAACATTGCCACATCACACATATTTTTAATAACAAACAAATATGAGCATCTAAGAGCAACACGGTTTTCTGTCCTTGCATTTTAAATTTAGGGCTATATTTTGTCAACTTTAATTCTCTGAAAGGAGAATTAGAGACATGCTAAAGTGAGATGTTTCTCATGTTATTGGAGGCCTAAATATGACAGTTTTGTATAAATAAAGTCTGGTGGGGTGAAGAAGAAAGGAGGAGGTATAGGACAGCAAATCAACTTTGGAGGCGTTTGCACCAACAATAAAGCTGTTTTGCCAATATATGGGAGGTGAACTGTACACAAAAGAACTGGAAGATGAAGAGACCAGAACTAAAGGCTTCACACCTGTTGTATGGGGTCCTCAGGAGCAAAGCCTGGCTGCCCGTGCAACTGTCCGTCGGGGTGTGGCAGCCATAAACAGGAGGAGGCACCGAATATTGCTGGTCACCTGCAGACAAACCATAGAGAAGTTACTACCCCACAGCAGGGCTGATTTCCATGCTCAGAAGGGTTAATGTCACATCCTGTAAGCTAGAGGAAGGGCTTTTTCTCATGCTCAGGAGTCGATGGGGGCAGGGGGCACCTGAGTCTTCAATAATTTGGAACTGATAATTATTTCCATTTTCAGTAGATATTTCATCATTGAATAGAACAGAGCTAAGGCTTATAGTTATTCTAAGCTGTGTAGCCGTTGACAAAAATCTTATGGAAAACAAGCAAACACTTTGTTTTTGCAAGTGTTCCGTCTGATCCCCAGTTCTGTGTGAGCTATCGGATGATAAAACCTTCAAATCTCCCTTCAACCATAAACCTGCAAAGTGCTTTTTTCTCAGCCTCCCATTTGTCACATGAAAGTAAGACCATAGGAAGCTGCCCTATACCAGTTCAGATAATTTATCCATCTAGTTCAGTATTGCCTATAACACTACATTGACTGGCAGTGTTCTCCAGGATTTCAGAGAAGGAGCATTTCCCACCTCTAGCTATAGAAGCAAGCTAGAGATTAAATTTGGGACTTTTTGTATGCAGCACGATTACTCTGGTGCAGGGGTCAGCAAACTTTTTCAGCAGGGGGCCGGGTCCACTGTCCCTCAGACCTTGTGGGGGGCCAGACTATATTTGGGGGGGGGGGGGAATGAACGAATTCCTATGCCCCACAAAAAAACCAGAGATGCATTTTAAATAAAAGGACATATTCTATTCACGTAAAAACACACTGATTCCTGGACCGTCCATGGGCTGGATTTAGAAGGCGATTGGGCCAGATCCGGCCCCCGGGCCTTAGTTTACCTACCCATGCTCTGGTGCATGCAGTAATACTGGCCAACTTTATATGGCTGTCCTGAAGATGACTTTATTAGGAATTGCTCCCAGGTAATTGTGTACAGGATTGTAGCATTAAGACTTCCAACATTTGAAACCCCTTTTGTAAATGCTAAGAGCATCATCCAAACAAAGGGCACTATCAAGCTTGAAATCCCAATATAGTTTCAATGGGATCTGCTTGATTTTGACTGCTTTATGCCCTGAATATTTAGTCAATAATATCACAATAATGACCAGCCAGTAATATAATCTAGTCACACAAACTAGAAGTGTCCACTTAGGCAGGAGAGGGCTTAGATTTTTGTCCATAAGCATGTGTGTGTGTGTGTGTGTGTGTGTGTAAAAGTTGCACTTTCAATGAAACCTACTACTTATAGTGCACAAGCATGTTTATTCAGAAGTAATCCTTACTGTATTCAATGCAGGTTATTCGACTCTTAAACTGGAATAAAACCCACTGAACTCATTGAGACACTTAGGAGCAGTCAGGCCTAGGTTTGCGCTATTGAAGTCATATGAGCTTCAGAAAATCTACACTTGTCTAGGCTATGATTAATGTACTTTTATGTGCACAGGACCATATTTGTGTTCGTTATCAATGGTATAATCTCTGAGAAGGTATTTTGAACAGCAGCGGAGTTTTTATGGGTACAGATAAGGGCAAACCGATGCCATCCTGATCATGATTATCAGTACCACTAACTTGTTCCCTACTTATTTGTCTCAAAACTACTTCCGTTTGGTTCCTAGAAGCCTAAGTAGTTACCTAGAGACGTCTGCTGGACGATGGGATCCTCGTGCTTGAAGGAGTGGTTTGTAAACTGCGCTGCGTGGTGAGAGGGGGTGTGGCCATAACTTGGAGTTCCATCAAACGCCACCGTGCCGTAACCTGCCAAGAGAACAACATTGTCAAGAACCAGGAGTTGAATCGCCTGCCCTTGAACTTTCTCATGAAGCGGCTTCCTGCAAGAATGTCCCCACCCGGGGCAGGCAGGCGTCGAAAACCTGAAGCCCCCGGGGGTGGCTCCTTCCTTCGGGAAGAGAGAGCCTGCTCAATGAACCCAGATAAACCCACGGCGTGACCAAAATAGTTCTCTCTGTGGTGAGAGTCCATTCTAAATCTGGTCTTTGGGGCTGTTTGCGTCACTTTCTCCGTCATTCCTTAATTCCTGAATTAGCATCCGAGCTGGCCTAGTGGAAGGTAACTCTTTCTTTCCATAAACATCAGCACACAGGCTGCTGGTGGCCAAGAACTGCTGAGGGGAATCCTTGGGTGTTAAGAGATCCATTAACATCCGAGGCGCACGTCTGATTACTTTCCCCACGATGAGCCACAATTCTCTTTTTGTGAAATGACGGCAGTGCCGCTTCTCTCTGTCTCTCAGGGAGCAAGGAGGACTGAGTAGGACGCGCTCAGGCACGTGCTGCAGGAGCTGTGGGCAGGGGGGAGAATCCCACAGTTCTAAGCATTTTTTTTTAAACGTTGATCTCAATGTGACTTGCTGCCAAGTCATAACGAGATCATAAGTTTGTTTACTTGGAAATGACTTTTGTTTGGGAATCTAGGTGCCAAGTAGGCTGTTGGGATGGCGAGGCTCAAAGGTTGTTGTCAAGACTAGTCAAGCCTTGGATCGATGCTTCGGTGGGAAATTAGGAGTCAGGCGTTTTGGCTTCGCCTGGAAAGGGCAGGCCGGTCGCTTCTCGCAGTGAGCGATGCTTTCATTAATTCTTCCTCATATTTAAGAGAAAGTCCCCCGTCTGTTGAGCAAACTAGTCTGCCGTTTCACATGCAAAAGGTACCCTTTAATCTCGTTCTCTCTTAACTTCTCACTTATTTTATAAGATTAACTTTCTGAAGAGCCTGCAATAAAAATGGCAGGCCGTTAAATGAAAAATAGCCTCCTACTTTAAGCGAAAATTGCTCGCTCAAATAATAATAAACAGCCTATTTAAAAAAAAAAACCGGAGTGAATTCAGATGGAAACGGATCGCCTCTAGTGACCTCAGGGTGACACCGAATCGTAAATCAGGCGTTTGGACACCAACTTTCATTAATTACTTGGAGCCAGTTAAACAACTTCAGCTAAAAAGTAATTACAAAGTAATATTATCTTTGAGGCTTCTCGGCTCATCAGCATTTACCCCAAGACCAAAGAATGTTTAGTGTAGCCCTTATGAGATCTACCCTTGGTTTCCCAACCACACGTTATGTTGACTTAGAAATATATTTTAAACTCTGTGCTTGCAAAGTTCTTAGGTATACTTAAAGACTAGCGTCTTCTCGCCCCCCCCCCGCCCCACCCTCTTTCAAGATCACCGTTTATTTCGAGAACACCAAACTGGCGGCAGGGGGGCAGGCAAGATTGTGCAACGCACGCAGAGAGAGCAAGCACCGCTGCACACTTTTCTGTGAGCTTTCCTAGGGCAACAACCTACTTCGCTAGATGCATCTGGCGGACTCCTGATGGAGTGACCGTTCTTTCAATAAGCAGTAGATCGGGGGTGATCATGATGGATGTTAGACAGAATGTGACAGAACTGGGGAGAGAAGGGCGAAAGGGAAATTCTTCCAGATCCCTCAGTGACAACCCAAATAAAAGCAGAAACACATAAAACAAAGAAGGTTCTGGTAGAAGACAATTTAGACCTCTATTTCTAAACACATATCTGTGTACTGAGAACAAACATCCTTAGCATGTTTACTCAAAAGTACTATTGATTTCCTAAACGTGATCCCTGGTAAACTTGCCCACGCTTCAACCATCCTTGACAGTGAAAACCCATTGAAATTCATTGGATGAAATCTGGAAGCCACCCGCGTTGGTTTATTCTGCCTGTGAACCGTTCTACGTACCGATTGGAACGGAACTTATGTTAATATTTACAAATTTAGGTAATCGGAGTACCGGGCCCTTTTGCTTTAGTGTAAATAAGACCCGGAACGTGAAGGCATTTGCTTAAGAAGTAAATCTCACGGCTTTTAACGGAACTTGGCTCTAGAAAACAATGATTGGATCGTAGAATTAAGCTCTTGTCCTAAAGTACAGTTGTGCTGGCCTCCTGGAGTGCCACATTGATGCCAATGGCGCTGATCCAGAAGAAAATTAGGTACGCGGATTGCAACTTTTTTGCTTTAGGGTCTCAGCATAAAGTAGATTGGAGTACCTGCTTCCGGTATAAAGCGTTTGCAGTGGCTCCTATTCTTGCAAACTTTTACAGTGAGGTAGATTTTACAGTGAAATAGCTAGATTTGAATCGACTGGCTTCCACTGAAGTCAGCAGGACTAAAAGCCGGTCCCGATCCTGAACTTATTTCTGCTGAAATGAGTCTAAAGGCCGCCTAGTTGGAAGCAAGTTTCTTTGTAGCACGATATTTCCTCAGCAACCGTTTTCTCGAAAGCAGGAGCCACTGTGCTCAAAGGGGCTTAATCTCGAGCAAGTGCGCCTAGGGCTGCAGCTCCAGTATATTCTAGATCTGAATGTAAACGGGCTTAAATCACAGTGTTTACAGTGATATGGAATGAGCTGCATTCTTATCTTGTCCTCTCTGGAAAACGCGCTTTCCTGAAGCGCTTTTGGAAACTGCCCTTCCCCACCTCTATCCCTGCCCCAGGGGTGCAAAAATGTTTGGGCCTGAAGGGCGAGGCAGAGAGTTCCCTCCACAAGAAGCGAAGGAAGGTACCCAGCACTGTTTTCCCCTTGCCAGTTGGCCAGCAGTGGAGCAGGGAGCGGGAAGCGCCTCTCCAAGGCTGCTGCGTGCGCCTGGCGCGTTCTGTTGCGCGCAGCCTTCCTTTTTTCCCCCCGGCGCACGGACGGCGTTGACAGCCGGTGCCCAACCCTTGCACTTCCCTGCTGCAGCTGTCCCGGGCTTCTTTATCTCCGCTCATAACCCACAAAGCAAAGGTTTGCCTCCTCCCTTTCTCCCTCCTCTTTCCTTTTCAACTTTCCCCGAAGCATGGACACTTCAGATCTGTTCGTTACTCTTGGCCCAGCGTGCAACTTTATTGGGTGACCTTCACAATTCGACTCGGAGCAGAATGATGTTTTGGCCACATTTCCCGGTGTTGCCTGACCCACAGCTTCAGGAATGCGATAAGGGGGCTGAGTTCTGAACCAGCCCTCTGATAGCGAGGGCTCTTTAATTAGGACTTTATCGGAGGCCGGGCTGATTAAAATGTGCTGAAAATAATTGAGATCTGGACATCTGGCGGAGAAGGCAAATCTTCTGAAGGGATACAATTGTTGGAGGAGCCCAGCTGCAGGGAAGAATAGAAGCGACGGGGAGGGGGACGCGGACGGGGCAAGAGATTCAAAGCAGGAAGGTTCCCGCCCCCCCCCCAAGCCTTGGCAAAACCGTCAAGGTAATATCTTTCCCACGGCGGAAAACTCGTCTGAAACCTAAACTTCAACCTTGACTGATTCAAAGCAAGAACATTATATTCGTGCCCAAAACATAGTTTGCCAGCTTCTCCAAATTCTTCCCAGCCACCCAATGAAACCTTGGTGTCCTGCCATAGTGCTCTCCCCTGCCCTCTCTTGCGTTCGCCTGTTTCAGCTAGAAAGACGCTGGTGGTTTGTTTTTATTGTGGATTATCGTTAAATTTCTTCTCTACAATTTTTTAAAAAATCATACTCTTCCTCACCGTTGGTCTTGTGGTGCAGTAATTAAAGCAAACCAGCATATTGTTATCAGCAGCTTTCTCACTTTCGAGTATATAAAGATCGGGGATCTAAGTTTGAATCTAAGGTATCTGGACGAACCTGTCACTCATCAGGACCAGGGCTCACGTTGCCAGGAAACCCATATTTATCAATGCGCCCTTTTGAAAATCAAAAGTATGGATATTTATTTTCTTCATATCAAAACAGCAGTTATAAGAACTCGAATTCTTATTTTACAAGCATAACTGCCCTACCAAAGTAAATTATTTTCTTTCGCTATTCTGATTTAATATATTATATAGCCTCTGGCTTCTGACAGAATTACCGTGTCTCGGACGTAGGGCGTATGGACAAAATGCACGCCTCCAAAAGCGATTTCTCATCACTAAACAAGGCGAGGAGAACTAATGCAATTGTGGAACTTCTATTTAGCATTTTTCAACAACACTAATCTAATTTATTAAAAACTGAATATAAAAGTTGCTGTTGATTAATGTGTCCACGGGAAAGCATGGATTTAGGATAAATTGTGCTAATTTCCCCTGCATTCTTTTAATGTTAACAATTACATTTATCCTGCTGTCATTCGAACTCTTTTCCTATATCTATACACTTCAGCTAATCTAGAAAGATTCTTTTTCAACAACTAACAATAACTGACAACAAATATATTTCTGGTCTCACACACAAAAAGGTGTAAGAAGGGATGTGAATTTTAATCGACACATGATAAAGCGATATAATGCAAAACAATTCTAACTGCAATGAGAGAATTCCAAGGCAATGTTCTTCAAAAAAAATTACTGTATGTATTATATATGCATATATGTTCACAGGTATGTTTGTGCATACATACAGGGAGAAAGATACACGAAAAACATGCAATTGGATCAACATAGCAACAGAGGTTCTAATCACTTATATCTGAGTTTGCTTATTTCCTTCTCCTTCCCAATCGATTTTCCTTTTGTGTTGTGTATTTTCAAATTGCAAGTCTTTGTCTGGGAGCCTTTTCTGAATGAGGAGTGGAATAAAAATAATATTTAAATGAAAATAAATGAAAATCAACTGGTGGCGAACAGGTTGGCAGTTCACATCAAAAGAAATTGAATTGCACTTCTGTTCCATTCTGACAGTTCTCATTAATTTAACTACCCTCCCCCATGATACACAGAAACCCACACATTATATAGGAATCATCATCATCATCATGTGGAATTCGCTAAGGAGTCAGAAATTGTCAGACCCAATAACCAAACATCAGCATTCCAGTAGAGCAGGGTCCATAAAAAATTACTATTGACCCAGATGCAAGAACTTGATTGGGGGGAGGGAGAGAGGTTAACTGCTATTTAGAAAAGGAGTGGCTTCCCAAAATAATGAAAGAGATTGCCTCCCTAACCTAACATTTTGCAGAACAAAGCTCTAGGTCTTAAAACCCTCCAACAAGGTAACCCTAACCCTAACCCTTAAAAAGGATTTTTAAAAGTTTCCTCTCTCCTCACTTTATCCATGGAAGCGTTACAAATTTTAGTCATGCTGATTTGGTAACTTCCTTAAAATAATGATAAACTGAGTGGTTTCGTGCAAAAGTAAAACTTGGCGAACTGTATGAACTGCGTGAACTACTGTGAACTGTTTATTCGATTAAATGAATTCTTACTGGAAATTAATAATACTTTGGGCTGCTCTGCATTGTTCCAGAACCGCGTTTTCAAAGGACAATTGCAAAGTAAGCGAAAGAAGGTCCTTCGCTTTTCTCCAAGATGCCTTCCCTCCAAGACGCTGTTGAGAGCCTCAGTCGGTGTAGTATTGCAACAGATCAAGTTACAGAAGCAAACACGAATAACTATGGAATTCACAACAAATAATTCTCTGGAATTCACCAATAATTATATAGTACTTCCACTTCATGCATCTGCTAAAGTAAGCTGTTGCCTAGGAAAACTAGTCAACTAGTCAACTCAACTCAACTCAGGTCGCAATAAACTGTTCAGGTGACAAACAATCCACCTGGAGGTTCCCCCGAATTGAATTGGAGCTGCAGGGTCTAAGGTTAGGTCCCACTAATTTCGCAGTAGAGGACACGCCTTTCTCTTTTACATATAGGAATCTAGATGAAAACAAGAACAATTTAGCATTTTAGTTGAATAATTGCTTCAAGCTGCTTCCAGTTTTACAGTCACCTGTTTTCCTGTTCCTAAATAGAAGAGCAGCCGGAATAAGAATATGACTCGATTCAAGACAAATTTCCTTGAGTCAATGGGATTCTACATATTCTTATTTGGACGTGTCTTCTACCGAAATCAATAGAATTTATATGTCCAGGTCAATTTATTTGTTTAGCGTGCAGCAGAGGTTCCCAGCTTAACTGTTCTTATAAACCCCCAAGTCTAAAGAGATAATAGCGCAGTCCTACGCACGTCTTCTCAAAAGTAAACCCCACTGGGTATCCTGCTACTTACTCCCAGGAAAGTGCGTTTAGGATCGCAGTTTGAGTCCTATGGATTTCAACAGAACTTACTACCACACGCTTATTGCTGAGAATTGGGGGGGGGTACTGTTTAGTACACCGTTCCCCTGAGAACTTACACCTTTTAGACGACAGCTTTAATATATTCCTCTACAGCTATTGTGTAAAAATTGTTATTCAGCCAAGCTCTGCGCGGGGGAAAAACCCACGCGTTTCAACACAAGGCAATCCTTTGCAGGTTTAGCTTCTCAATATGAGCAGGTCAGCCAATTGCCTAATGTCACCTTTCTCCTACCCCCAGCCCTTTAAAAAAACATTGCAGGGGGAAAACCATTATATGATAATTCCCACCATCTCCAATGCTTATAGACTGGCAAAAGAATCCTGCATGCAAGCTGCACAAGGTTGTTGATGGAATTTAGTTCCAGTCAAATCAATCTTAAAATTCCTGTTGGCAAGTGTCATTCCCGCGGTTTGGTTTCTGTAACATTAACCAAACATTTCGCAGGGTAATCAAGAGCCCCATTATGTACTTTGCCAGGATATCTCCAAGTAGCACTACAACCTGTTAGCTAAAAAAGGAACGAAGTGGGCGTGTGTTCAGAGCACGGATTTTAGAATTTTACTAACACCAGGCACCACTGGAGTGAGAATAAGTAAACGAACGCTAACTGACAGGAAAACTGATATCCCAAAGAACTGTTAAAGATAATTTACACACACACACACGGAATTTTTTTTTGCACATGGGGTAAGGCAAAAACAGCGAGTCTTCTCATAAACTCATTTAGGCTGCAATCTTATGTACAACTACATTCCTTAAGTGCAGTTATTAGAAGAAAGTAAGTCCTGTTGAACTCAACATCGCTACTAGGGTGGAGAAGTTTGTTTTCCTGAAACACCACTGAATCTATCTCTTTGAAGGCCGCTAGGAAAAAAGTCTGCGGAGTTTATGCTCATCCGGTACTTGAACAGCCGGCTAACACTAAAAATGGCAGCTACCACAAAATCAGTGCTAAGTGTTCCACTGACTGTACAGTGGTGAATCTGTATCGCAGCACCCAAAGAAGAAGCGCCCGATAACTTCCACTCCCTTCCTTCCAGCTTCATGTGGGGCGTTAAATGTCATAATTGCTACACCTGGCGAATACTTCAGGACCACAATCCGACGCTTTGAATTGCAGTTTTGAAGCCGCAAACCCTCAAACCGCTTAATCTCGTAGTAATTTCTCTGCATGTGTGTGGGGGGGGGGGGGAGACGACTATAACTCACAGCGCAACCTGGATAGGACACAATCAAAGGCATGCCCCATTGTCGCCTATCAGATGATATTTTTTTAAAAAAAAGATAGAATTATCGTTTTAAATTACATGGGGTGAGTGCCACTGGCATCTAACCCACTCCAACACCCAGCTCGGAAGTATTCACCTGCCGCCTGCTTAGAGCAGCCGAACTTCACATTTCTAGCAACCCGATTTTTATCTTCCTTCAAAAGCAACTCCCGTTCGATTCCACATAGACACGGCTGTCGTTTTGACTGAGAAGGGGTATACTTACAATGCAGTCAAACCAACAATGCACATCCCTACAAGGGATTGCTGGAGTACGCTCAGCGAAGTACGGCTGCAATCCTATGCGCACTCCCTCGGGAGGAAGGCTGCAGTGTGACTCGCCCCTTGAACTCGACGGTACTTGCTTTCGCGTGGACTCGCATTGCAGCACGTGTGCGTCGGAACACACGTGTGAACGGAACACCAGTGTGAACATTCCCCCTGAAATATCTAGATATTTATACACAGGCCGCCGTATACACCAACTCTTTATGTAACAACTGAGTTGTAACAACCCGTGGCTAAAGGCGGGGAGTGGGGCTAGCTCAACAGACCGGTGATTAGGTCTGCCCGCCTGCGAGCCTGGCTCTGATTCGGGTTCCCACGTTTGCCACCGCCGGCTTGTGGTCCAGCGAGGGCCCCGTCCGACAGGAGCATCTTCCAGCCCTTGCTGTCAATCACGGCGAGGGAGGCGAGCGAGAACCCCCGAGGCAGCCAGTCAGGCTGGCGCGCATACGCGGCGTGTCCAATGGACGCGGCGGCCTTACCTTGGTTGCGGATGGCTTGCTGGCTCTCCAGGCAGTTGGGCAGGTAAGGGCCGCTGGGAAACATCCTGGCCTGGCTGGCGGGCGCTTGGCTGGGCGGCGGCGGCGGCGGCGGCGGCGCGAAAGGGCCGTAGCGGCAGGCTCCGGCGGTGCCGGTGAACTGGCCCGAGAAGTGCACCGTGAAGGCGCTCAGGCACTGCTCCTCGTGAGCCTCCGTGGCGCTCCAGCTGGGCTCCTGCTTGATGAAGGCCGAGTGCGGCGCCAGCGAGCCGTACGACGCTCCGGGCGGGAAGTCCAGCACAGGCGCCCACTGCGCCGCGCCGCTCACCGGCATGGGGCAGTTGCCGTTGCCCGGCAGGGAGGGCACGGCCGGAGGCAGCAGCGCGTTCAGGTCGCGCACGTCGGAGCCCATGGCGTCGCCGCAAACTTTCCGCCGGGGCGCCGGGAACCACTCGCTGCCGCTGCCGCCGCCTCCTCCTCCGGCGCCGGCGCTGCACTTGCTCCAAGCGCTCTGGCCCCTGCCCGGGTCCGGCTGAAGGCACCAGGCGGCCGAGCCGAGCCCTTTCGGCGACGCGGGGTCCGGGTTGGGCACGCAACTCCCCGGCTCCAGCCCTGCGGGAGCGGGCAAAAGCGACAGCGCGAGGTTGGTCTCCAGGGTCGCCTTCGGGTCCGGCGGACAGCGAAGTTGAGGAGACACAGAGAGACAGACAGAGAGAGAGCGGGTGTGAGGGAAAAGAAAGGCGAGCGAGGCAAAAAAAAAGGGAAAAAAAGAGCCGAGTGCGAGACTGGCGGGAAGCGGCTGAGGGGAAGACCTGGCCTGCTGAACTGGCCGCGCGGGAGGAGGGAGGCGCGAACTGACTGACTGAGGAGCCGCCTTGAACTTCTTACCTCAGCGGCGGCTTTGCCCTCAAGTCCCCAAAGCTCAGCTAATTGAGAGGGGGGAGCCGCGCGAGGCGGCAGCGGAGGAGGAGGAGTCAGTGGCAGCAGCAGCAGTAACGCGCGGGCGCTCCCTTCACACTTCGCTCGGCGCCTCAGCCGCCTTCGCGCGCCTCAGAAGCACTCGCAGCCCCGGGGGCAGGAGCGGACAAGGCAGACGCCTCTCGCTGCGGCCGTCCCGCCATTGCGCGGGCGGAGGGGCGGAACACCGAGCCCTCCCGCATCCCGCGGAGTCCTGACTTCAGCCACCTGACCTAAACAAACCCGGGTTTCTTTCCCGGGCAAGCTGGAGGCTGCTGAGGCGAAATGCTCGGAGGCTGGCTTGGCTCCATAAGCGGCTTAGTTTGCGAAGGGAACTTTGACAAGGCTCAGGGAGAGAAAAGGCGCTTGGAAGCGGAAAATGCCCAATCCAGCGCCCGGCCTTTCAAGGGAAATGCCCTCCCTGGATGAAACCCTGGGAGACAGGGCGGACCACGCTGAGCCAGGCTATCCCCACGTGCCCACATAACCCCTGTTCTCAATACTCGTCCCGCAGTGGTAAAAAAAACCCCGATCTTGTAGTATGGCAGTCCTTACACTTTGGAACTCCCTGCCCCTTGACATCCGTCAGGAGGAACTTTCGGAGAGCTGCTTAAAACATTTTAAAACATGGAGAAGTTATGTGAGTTTAGCTTATTGCTAGTTTTTGAATGTTTTGATACCGGCTTTTAACTGTGTCTATAAATAAGGTTCTCTTGGGGTGGGTTGTAAACCGCTTGGAGGTTTTATTACAGTCAAGCGATGCACAAAATTTTTTAAATAATTAAGACGGACCAGGAGTTTTAAAGCACGCCCCGCCCGCAATAATCCTAAACAGGAGGTCCTGGGAATTGTAGCTTTGTGTGAATTGTAGCAGTTCCCAGGTTTCTTTGGAGGTCCTTTAAATGCATGCTGTGTAGCAGCCTATGCCTTCGGAGTATGTCCGTCCATCATCTAGAAGCACACAAGGATTTAAGAAGTTCTTAAATTAAAGACATCCGATTGGGGTCGCAGATTCCCCTAATGCCGCACAAATATACTCCATCCTCCTCTTCTTCATCTCATATTCATTAGGTTGGCCGGCTGCCATCCAAGAGTGCTTCTTCCTGAATTTCACTGGAGGTCGAATCCTGCTTTAGGGCTCCCCTGCCATGTGCTTTTATGGAAGCCGGTCTAGCTAACGATGGCCTTAAGGCGCTGGTGAAGCTCATCTTGCAGATCTACCTCTGAGCTGCGAAACAGGAAGCCTCCGATTCGAATCTCACCTCAGCCAGGAGGTCTCCCTCCCTCAGCATACGTGGGTGTCCATCACCTTCCGAGCCAGTTAGACGAATTACAACCCGTTTCTAAGAACGATCAAGGGCACTGAACACTATATAAATGCTAGTAGATGCACAGATGTCAAGAAGGTGACATCGGCTGAAAAGAGGGAAAGGGGGACTCTGGCGATGTTCTAACAGGAACAGTAGAAGGAAAGGGAGAGAGACTTTTAAAGTAAATCACCGCTTCCTTCGCACTTCGTGGTTGTGTTAATATGCATCCAAACAGTAAAACAATTCTCACTTCAACAGGGTTTGAAGCAGTTGTTGGCATCGGTGGTCTGTCCAGGGAGACAAAGGAGTGCGCCTCCGGGGATGAAGTCAAACCGCTGGAGAATCACAGCGCCTGCTGTGGCTGCAGAGACCAGTAACTCATAATTGCTGCCTCCCGTGTTGCTTTTGTCTAGTTAGGAGCCCTGAAGTGACCTTCCTGGGGTGCAAGCCTGGGCAGTGTGCATGGAGGTCCTGGGTGCCCAGAATACAAAACTTCTTGGCCTCGCTGATGTGGTCCAAAGGAAAACAGAGCAAAGTTTGGCTGCAAGAGTTGCCGGAAGAAGACGCCATCCAGCCGTCCCAGGGACTCATGATCCTGGATGCTGCAGACCTAAGGCCCAAATCATAGTGAAATTGCTCCACCAAACAGCGGAGCTGAACAAAAGGGAATGGGGGCACCATTTCTGCCATTATTTCTTCCCAGACCTTATTATTGAATTGCCCTACAGAATACCTTCCCTACTAAATCCGGCTCTTCTTCCGCCTCTAAGGGTATGCACGAATAAGGCTGCCGCCCCAAGCACGCCTTACTCAGAAGCAAGTCCTTTGAAACCAGTGGGACTGACTTCTGAGTACAAATAATGAGGCTGCTTAAGAGAGCCGCATTTGAGGAAGGTTTCTACTTCTAATCCCGTGAACTGAAGAAGAGCTTGAAATTCACAGCATCAGCTGAGGCGGATCTGCCCTCTGTTGCTGGATCCCTGCGGTTACTTGAAGAAAAGTCATTTTTCACAAGTACCCCCCCCTCAGTTCATTTTGCCCCTTCTGATTTTATTTTTATATCTGGTGTCGTCACTGGTCGTCTGTATTGACCTATCAAGGATCTCCCCGCTCTCTTGCTTCCAGGATCGACTCGACACACTTTTGCCACTTGAGCCGAAGGGGTGGTGACCCTCCCGCTTTCCACATAAGTCATATGTGCCTGAACCAGCAGGTGGATCCCACCGCCACACTAACAATACGACGGCGCAGCAGGTTCGCTTATGGGGAAGCAGGGCAGGCTGCCTCTACCCTCTCATTGATGCTCCAGGCATTCTAGCACCTGCTGCCTGAAGCACTGCCTCCCTCTGCCTAATGATAGGGACCCGGTTCACTACGGAGACCCTCATTTGAATCCAGGCCTTCTCAGACCATGCCTTCCTCAGTCCACTACGCCGTGCAGCAGGCTCCTTTCTGAAATACAGGACTCATACCCTCGATCGAATTCGAATGAGGAAAAGGAGGATGTTATGGACATAGTATATATTATTTACGGAGAGTAGTTGTGTTCCGGCAGTAGAAACCACAGAAGAGTCTTAGGGGCACCACAAAGACTTGACCCTTTTTTTCATTGTGGCATAAGCTGTTGTTGATTAGAGTCAGCTACGTTAGATCATGTAGTAACTGTATGTTATTGCTTCTGCGACACTTTTCAGTGTACAGAGTGCTTGACATGCACCTTATTCCTCAATGCAGCAAAAAGGATTTTCGTGGAGTTTTTAAGGTCGGTCCAAAACCAACCCTCCGGATAGAGTGGACTTCTAAAGGCATCCCTTTAGTGGACTCTTTTCGACTAAATAAACAGCCCCTTTGGTTCTCCTTCATTGTCCCTTCACTGCAAGGGGGTGGAGGAAGGCTGTAAGATGGCAGACACTTCGTCCTAAGAACATTTTGTCCCCCATTAGGGGGTCTGATCCGGAGCGATTCTGAAGAGGAGCTGCAATAAAAGAAACTGTGATTAGAGGGTGTTAGAGGGTGTTTGGCCCAGTAGCGGTCGCTCAACCTACTTCACAGGGTTTGTTGTAAGAGAAACGGCGAGTGATTTACTAAAAGCAAATATAACAAACAATACAGTTTAGTGGAAAGTGGAGTTCTGTGTGTCATCTACTTTATCTATTTAAATGCACGCCAACCAGCAAACAGCTTAAGAGAAGGACCGCATTTGATTTCAAAAAAATGAAAGTACTGTGTTCATGGAGTAGGATAAAACTCATCTCCAAATCTCCACGTAGTTAATATTCAGATTTTATTTAGCACCCAAGCCCAAGCTTGTGCATTTGTCTACACTTCAACTAACCCATATAACCTATAGAGGTGGTGACTTTCTCTCCAAGCAACTAATTCCCGCAGAGACTGGGGGGAGCAAGCAACACCCCCAAAAAAATCTCACCTCCCACTTCCCTTCCCATTTCTGAACTCCTGTCATTCATATATGCTGCTATTTTTCTTTGTCCCCCACTTAGAAACACACTTTCTCCCTTCTGTGCCCACCCTGATATTTTTCCCCTGGTCCCGCCACTGAACTCCCGATCCTTAAAGGCGGTGGCGGCGGGGGGGTGTTACTTATCAGCCACTTACTTGTTTTAGTGGGACTTTATTACGAGTGAAAATAGGAGCAGACGCTGACGCTAATAATATCGACTCGGAAGTAAACCGCACTGAGACCAGTTGCGCTTTCGCCGGGAGAATCTCAGCCTCAAGATGGCAGCCTGAGCCGTTTTTGACATCTGGCTCTGATGACAGCTCCTAACAGATGAAATTTAATGCAATAAACTTACCGGTGTATATTACAGGAGAGGAAGCAAAATGTTGCAAATCACTCTTCTGGTGTCACGTGCAGTTTTTCAGCAGGTATTAAACAACCTAGTTAACATAACCCTCTCTAAGGGACAGGGTTACTTGGTACATGAAAAGGGCAACATCTAGAATTTCAGACTCAGCTTATGTGACTTTCTTAACATTCAAAACTAGTGCAGCAATCTATACCTTTTTAAAGGATCTTGTAAAGTTTGGATATGCAGAGTTACTTGCATACACACACACACACACACACACACACACACAATGCCCAAGTTTGTTTTGTTTGCTGATTTCTTTATTCATTGGACTATATAGTGCCCGGAAAGTACAGTATTGCCAAATATCTTCATTTTAAAAATAGCACCCATATATTTCTCTGTTAAAAGCAAGTGCCGAATCAAACCAAGTCAGCAAAATTATTTTGTTTCCTGATCGTGTCTCTGTGTGCGTGTGTTTAACTTCAGTATGGGATATGGTTTGTAAAGGATGTTTACTTCTCCTTTACACACACACACACACACACACAGAGAGAGAGAGAGAGAGAGAGAGAGTTTCGGACAAATAATTCCAGAATTCAACTTTGAATGACTTTGGTAAGTTTATACCTTTTCCTTCTTAGACTGAACTCAATTGCAGAGTGACAAATCACCTTTGCCTTCGGAGAGTGGTAAATGGTACAGAGTTCAAAAGCGCCCAAGCCTCCTTCTGCTCCTACACAAGCAGTAACAGGTAGGTGCCTATTTAACCGCTAGCCATCGCTTTCTGGGTTTCCCCGTGTTTCTGCCATTTTATTCCGATCTGCCGTAATATAGCACATAAAACTGCAGTGGTTTAAATTGCAATGCTTGAGAAGTCCGATCCGTTCTGATAATTGGAAAGTTCCTTTTAAACCCGGACACCGTCATCTTTTCCTTGCCAAACCGCCCCGTCTCAAAGAAATCCAGGTAGCATTTTTCTCAGCACGGAATGAAAGATACTGAGTCAGAGCTTATCTTTTTTGAGTACAGGCGGAGAGACATCGCTGTTTTTAAACCACTTAATGGTTGTTGTTGTTTTTTAAATCTCCCCACCCTAAACTATTGCGAAATCTTTAGCAATTCCCATTTGCTCTTCCCTCTAAACTGGCAAAGGCTCTTTTTAAGTACCGTAGAACGAACCGAGATAATATAATCTGTCAACGACCCGTATCCCAGGTTCGCCATCCGCACTAATGAACGACCCCTGCGGCCCTAGATGGACCAGAGCTCTTTGCGAGGGCCATTGTTGTCTTAACCCTGTGTTAGCTTTTTTTTTGGTCCGGATTATAAATTGGTCGACCTTTTCTAGGTTAGCTTTTGTCTATTTACATAGTACAGTTCAGAGTTGTTATTGGCTTTCAAAGGAGAATAACCCGCCCTCAGACCTCTGGAAGGAGTGGGAAAGAATGAACCACACAGCCACTGGTGTTTAATCTGATTTCGGTCTAACTGAACGAAATACATTCAGATCAGTGTGGTTTGGCTGGAGCTCAGCGTGGGTCACGCTGACTGATAACCCCCCCCCCCCCAAACATGAAGTGGCAGGGTCAAATTTCCGCCCCCTCCCGGCTAAGTTCTCCTTAAATTTTCCACTACCCCTTTGAAATGGATGGAACTGGCTTCCAATGGCACTTGTTGCTTAAGTCGAGGAGAGGCTCAGAATTTCAGGAATTGAGACCATAACAGGGCTGGATGAAAGCCCATTGGCTGGTCAGGTTCCCCAGTGGATCCCGTGTAAGATAGTCCCATCTCGTGTTTTGCTTCTAGCTCCTCATTCGCAGCATTTAAAAATAACCCCAATAACAGATACACCGGGTTGATTGGATTTCTCCTTTGAACTTGAAGGCCAATAAAAGGATATGACAAGTGCTCGGTTCTCTAAACAACAATAGCAACAATAAATGGCCAGTGACGCGCCCCCTCACATTTTATGGAAAGCGGCAAATTCCAAAATATTTGGTAGGGACAGCCGTAGAAACAGAGTCTACCGACGCCTCCGGTGGGGGGAAAAGATTTCTAGATGTTGGGAATCTTTACTTCGCTATTGCTCTGGCATTCAGTCACACGACTCGCTTAACCAGTGGTTTAACCTCACCACTTTGGGGGAGAGCGGACAGACACGCAGGCTGTCGCAGGAGCAGCATACCAAACCCATGTCCGTGGAAAGCGCCCAAGGAAAGTGGGAACGAAAGTGTTGTTCCGGCACTCTCACTTTCCCGCTTGCACACGCAGCCTCCTCCCCCACTCAGCTTCGGAAGCGATTTGATCTCGTTTAGGATGGGCGGAGGATGTATGATGCAGGATTCAGACTGCAATCTTCCTTCGTCATGTCTATTCGGGAGCAAAGCCCACTGAAACCAAGCGGGGCTTACTCCCTGGTAAAGGAGATTCGAAGGAATGCTGCCTGAATCGTCAAAATAAATGCGCTCAGGGACCGCAGCCTTCAAAGAAGTGGAGGAGAGAGAGAGAGAGAGAGAGAGAGAGAGAGAGAGAGAGAGATCCAAGCGCATTTCTGTGCCTTTTCCTCGCTGGTGAGTCTCAAACAGAGAAGCAGAGGGGAAATATCTTTCTTCTCACTCACTCAAGGGTTTGATTATTTAAAGTGCCAACCCCGGGAAAAACAAAGCTGTGAACCATCTCCAGGCAGGAGCCGCGGAGGGTGAAGGGAGCAGTGAGAGCTGCGAGGAGACAGAGAATCAATCACCGGCCGCCAGTTCCCCATTCCCAGGAGCGAATCCGTCACCCAGCGCGCCAGGACGCAGGAGCTGCAGCTCAGAAAGGGCCGTCCCGGGCTGCAGCGCTGTGCAGAGCAGCCTTCTTGTTCTCCCAAACTGGGCGCATGGATAGACCACCTTTCCTGCAAGCAGCTCAAGGCGGTATAGTGTTTTCCCCCTCTCCCCTTTTTTATCTTCACAACAGCCTTGCGGGGTAGGTTAGGCTGAGAGAGCAGTCACTGGGGCAGGCAGAGGTTTCTGGGAGAGCAGCACAGAGTTCTTCTGAACTGGGGCCGGGTGCGTGTGTGCCTGAACCATTTTGCATTGTGACTCGGCTGAAGCTCCGCTGTTCCCAATACCCGGAGCTCAAACGTGTCCCTTTCCCAGTCAAGGGTTCGAGAAGGAAGCTTCAATAGCCGAATGGAGAAGAGAGGGGCTGTTCTGGCTTCTGGCCCCTTCCACGCCAGTCCTTCTCCCCACCCCGGAAAAAAATCTGAAAGAGACCTGCTGGGATCGTCCATTGGACCTTTGGGCCAAGAAAGTGTGCAAAGTGTGCAGGCTTTCCGGTTTCACAGAAGCCTTCGTCGCGCGCGGCAGCCTAGAGGGCGGCAACCCTACAAACACAAGAAGCTGGGAAAGTTAACGTAATTTGTGTGGGAATGTTCTGGGGTGCAGGAGAGGATATATTGACTAATTATATCCTTATCCAACTTGTGCTAACAAGTTCCCAAAATATCAGCAGAGTTTATAGACATTCCCCTTTAAGTTCGCAACGGTAACGTGTGCACAGGTTCGCTAGAACCTCTATAATAATTACTCTGGTAATTTCCCTTTGTTCCCTCTTAAAATACAAGACACAACACAGTCTTTATAAAAATATAAAAGAGTTTACTCACGTTCTGTTCACAATATGATTCCAGAAGGCAGACAGCTTAAAAGGTTACATACATTCAGAATCTATCTTATAGCAAGATAGTCCTTTCCTCCTCTCTTGGCTGAGACCCAAGAGAGCATCTTTAGATGCTTCCTCATCGAAGGAAAATGGCAGAGAGAGAGAGTGGCTGCCTGCCCTGTGCTTTTGTCATTTACCTGCACAGGTGAGGCCACACCCACCTCTGGTCACATGCAGAGGAAGTCCGTCCCCAGGAAGTTTACCTGCTTGCTGGACTGACATCCCTCCCCATGTTCTAACATGTACACTCTAGGAATGTTGTCATTGACTGCTCCTGTGTTTACATCCCACATACCACTTCTCAGGCAATACAACATTATACAAAACATAAACAACTTTATTTAACCACCCAGAGTCCCAGCTTGACACGTAGATTCTGGAAACTCTCTCTTGGTAGGGGTTTCGTCAGGATGTCAGCAGTCATCTCTCGGGTGCTGCAGTAGGATAGTTCCACAAGTCCATCCTGGATCATCTGGCGTATGTAGTGGTATTTAACCCCAATGTGTTTTGTTCTGGCCAGGAACTTCTCACTCTGCGTCAGCTTCAGGCAACTTTGATTGTCCTCTAGCAAGCTGACAGGCCCTTTTCTCACCAACCCAAAGTCCTTCATGAGTTGATCAAGCCAGGCGATCTCTCTGCAGGCTTCTGTTGCTGCAACGTATTCTGATTCTGTGGAAGATAATGCTACACAGCTCTGTTTATAACTGCCCCATGCAACAGGTCCATCACCGAACATAAAAACATGACCACTTGTTGATTTATAATCAGCATTATCCCCAGCCCAATCCGCATCAGTATACCCAACCAACTTAGGGTCTCTGACGGCTGGTAACCTTAATTTACAATTCATGGTACCCTTCAAATATCGCACCACCCTCTTTACACCTGCCCAATCATGCTCAGTGGGAGAATTCACTTTTCTGCTAAGAATCCCCACAGCATTAGCTAAGTCAGGTCTACATGTGGTAACTAAATACAAAAGTTTACCAATCGCCGACCTGTAGTCATTGTTGTCTGGCAACTGCTTCGAATCCTGCTGATTCTTCAGGAAGTCAGTAGCCATCGGTGTAGCAACTGGATGTGCGTCTTGCATCTGCATGTGCTCAACTAGCTCGTGGATCTTCTGTCTTTGGCTGAGAAGAAATGAGCCGTCCTCTTCTCTTTCCACCTGGATCCCGAGGTAGTACTGGACATCTCCTAGCTCCTTGACCTCCACCTCTTTGCTAAGGTGTTTTACTATCTGTGTATAGTCTTTCTCACTTGCTGTGGCAATAATCAGGTCATCAACAAAAGCTAAGATATATGAGAATTGTCCATTATTTGACTTACTATACAAGCACTTGTCAGCGTCGCCTTGCTTGTACCCAAGTTGCGTCAGCATTTTATGCAACTTCTGGTTCCAGGCTCTAGCAGCCTGCTTAAGTCCATAAAGTCCTTTCTGGAGTTTGCACACTAAATGTGCTTCATGTGATTTTACAAAACCTTTGGGCTGTTTCATGTAAATTTCTTCAGAACTCTGCCCATGTAGAAAGGCGGTAGCAATGTCAATGTGTTTCACCCTCATTTTCTTTGAGGCTGCAATGCTTAAAAGCATTCTTACGCTGCTGTACCTCACCGTTGGTGCAAAAACTTCATCATAGTCTTCACCAAAACGCTGTGAAAATCCCTGTGCTACAAGTCTAGCTTTGTAGCGCTGCACTTCTCCTTCTGACCCCTTCTTAACCTTGAAAACCCATTTACTGCCAATGGCCTTCTTACCGGGAGGCAGCTCAGTGAGTGTCCAGGTCTTGTTCTGATGCAGTGCATCCATCTCCTCCTGCGCGGCCTTCCTCCAGAGACTGGCTTCTGCAGCTGGCATCTCCTGTATCTCTTCCCAAGTGGAAGGTTCCTGTGGAAACGCCGACCCTGCAAAGTAGGACAACCGTAATGGTGGGACACCTTTGTTGGTTCTGGATGAGATCCTGACCTCTGGTTGTGCGACCGCATCAGCTTCCTCATCCTCCTCCAACGCAGGCATGTCCCCATCTGAGTCCTCATCTTCGTCTCTGGTGCCGCCAGGGTTCTGGTCCTCTGCGTCTTCTGGTGCGTCGCCTGTAGGGGGCGCTGTAACACTCGAAGGCAGATAATTACTTTGTGGGGTCTCAAAAGGGAAATATACAAACTCTTGAGTCCTTTCTGACTCATCTGAAGAATCCACAACAGTGTTCTTAGTGTCTACTTTTCCATATTCATCAACATAAACCGCATGGTATGCATTTGTCTTACCAGTTTGTAAGTCCATAATTCTGTATCCTTTGCCTCCAGAGGCATATCCCACAAGGATACCTGCTTTTGCCCTGGAGTCAAGCTTGTGTCTGTGTTCCTTGGGCACGTGGAAGTAACACGGACTTCCAAACACACGTATGTGCGACAGATTGGGAGCTTTCCCATGCCAAAGTTCAAATGGTGTGCGCTCTGCTCCTTTAGTTGGCAGTCTATTCTGCAAATAGACCGACGTGTATACTCCTTCGGCCCACAGCTTCTGTGGCAAACATGCATCCTTTAGCATGCACCTTGTCATGTCCATAATGGACCTAAACTTTCTTTCAGCTATGGCATTCTGCTGTGGTGTGTAAGGAATTGTGGTTACGTGTGCAATTCCTTCCTTGGCCAGGAGAGCCTGCATTTCATTTGAGCAGTACTCACCTCCATTGTCGCTCATTAACACAGCTGGAGCTCTCTGGAATTTATTCTTGACCATGGCAATGTATTCCTGGAGCTTGTCCACTGTCTCACTCTTCTCTTTGAGGAAATATACAACACAAAATCTTGAAAAGTCATCCAGAAATATTAAAATGTATCTATTCTTTCCCAGTGAGGGAACATTCATGGGTCCACATATGTCAGTGTGCACTATGTCAAGCACTTTGTTGCTTCTTTGTTCTGCACAACGTGGAAATGAAGGTTTTACAGCCTTCTCAGTAATACAGCTTATGCACTTTGCTGGAGCTTTGTTGCTCTGCTTTACCTGCAAACCTCTTACAAGATCTCTTTTCTGTAGATCCAGAATGACGTTAGTGTCCCTGTGTCCAAGCCTTCTGTGCCACAGGTCCAGATCTGCCTCATCCTTCTGGCTGGAATGTGCCACTTTTGCAGACTGGTTCTCTGAAAGATCAAGCTCATATACACCATTTATTAGCTTTGCTTGAGCAAACACTTTGCCATTTCTAGTCACTTTACATTCTCCATTTCCAAATGTGATCTGGAAACCTTTCTTGTCCAAAGTGGACACGCTGATTAAATTGCAGCTCAGCTCTGGAACGTACAAAACTCTAGAGATTGTGTTCTCAATGCATTCATTGTTTATATTGCATTTCAGACTCATGGAACCTGCACCTTTTGCTTTAACAATGTTGCCATCTGCAATCTCAATTTCAGATCCTTCTTCATCATTTATCTCATTGATCTCATTAAAATAGTCCCTTTTATGATGAAAAGTGCGAGGACTGGCACATGACTCTAAAATCCATTTATTACGTTTATTTTCACGATTCTGGACAGCTAAATTCCTTTCTTGCAGTAGCCATTTCCCCTTCTTTTCCACTTTTGGCTGAAAGGGGTGGGGTTTCTTTGCTTTAGGAGCCCTGCAATTCTTTGCAATGTGTCCTTCTTTGTTACAATTGAAACAAATCACTTTCTTAGGCATCTCTTTGGACTTTGTAAATTGCCTAGATGCATAACTGCTGTCCTTGATTTTAGCATTTCTCACTGGAGATTCAGCTCTATCTCTGCATTCTTCTTTTAAATAACCAATCAAGTCTTTAAAAGTCAGACCTTGTCTATGATCCATCAAACTTACAAATGCGCTAAAGCGTGGTCCAAGTGATGATAACAAAAATGCTATCTTTGTATCTTCATCAAAAGCTTTGGGAGTCAGATCAATTCTTTGAATAATCTCAGTAAACTTGTTGATGTGCTCTGTGAATTCCTCTTTTGAATTCATCCTCAATCTGGTTAATTTACACACCAAGTTTCTGAAGCAGTTTATGCTAGATTCTCCATACACACGCTCAATATCTCTTAAGATTTGAGATGCATCATCTGTACTATTTATTAATGATAGCTGCTCATCACGAAGTCCACTCAAAATTATGTGTCTAGCTTCGCTGTTCATGCGTTTCCAAGCACTTATCTTGGCTAAAGCTTCCTCAGATGATCCCTGTAGGCTGAGGGCTTTAAAGCTTCCAAAATGTGCTTATAATCTAAACATGCTATCAAGCGCTGCTTCCAGTGTATGGAATTGTATTCATTTAGCACAGGCATTCCTAGCTTTGCATCACTATCAAAAGCTGCTCTAGCCATCTTAAAATCCAAAAATTTGAAAATTCTTCAAAATTTCAAAATTTCTCAAAATTTTAAAATCAAAATCTCAAAAATCTCAAAATACAAAACAATTCTTCACTGCCTTGGGTCACTGTGAACTCTGAGGGAAGGGGGGGGTTGCTTAATCCCCACTGCACAATGGAACAAAGGACCATGTGCTTACCAGGAAGTTAACTCAGAAAAATACTACTCAACTCAAAATCACAATCCAACGCAATCCTTCAAAAATACGCAGAAATATGCAATACTGGGCCCATAACCCTTTGTGGGAATGTTCTGGGGTGCGGGAGAGGATATATTGACTAATTAGATCCTTATCCAACTTGTTCCCAAAATATCAGCAGAGTTTATAGACATTCCCCCTTAAGTTCGCAACGGTAACGTGTGCACAGGTTCGCTAGAACCTCTATAATAATTACTCTGGTAATTTCCCCTTTGTTCCCTCTTAAAATACAAGACACAACACAGTCTTTATAAAAGTATAAAAGAGTTTACTCACGTTCTGTTCACAATATGATCCCAGAAGGCAGACAGCTTAAAAAGGTTACATACATTCAGAATCTATCTTATAGCAAGATAGTCCTTTCCTCCTCTCTTGGCTGAGAGCCAAGAGAGCATCTTTAGATGCTTCCTCATCGAAGGAAAATGGCAGAGAGAGAGAGTGGCTGCCTGCCCTGTGCTTTTATCATTTACCTGCACAGGTGAGGCCACACCCACCTCTGGTCACATGCGGAGGAAGTCCGTCCCCAGGAAGTTTACCTGCTTGCTGGACTGACATCCCTCCCCATGTTCTAACATGTACACTCTATGAATGTTGTCATTGACTGCTTCTGTGTTTACATCCCACAATTTGTGTAACTGGAGATGATTGTGACTATTTTGAGTTCTTCAGCTGCAGGGGGGGGGGGCACGAGAGACACGACAATAAGTCTTGGTCGCCTGCAACGGATGTGAAGATGTACACAAACCTCTTCCCAGAAAGTCCAGGCGTTAGATCTTTCTCTCTCTCTCTTCCTCCATCTTTCCCTTGCTAGGTCACACCTCCCGCACAAACAAGCGCCTTAAGCAGACCCCCCCCCCCCAATTGCTGTGAACGTCGGCGGAGCCCCGGCCATGAAATCCATCCCGCCTCCGCTAGAGCTATAGGATGCGTTCTCCACCCCCACCCCCTTTTCCCCATACCAAACCGGCCTAAATCTGTCAGCTTCAGCTCTTTCCAGGTGGGGAATTCCTGGCACCTCTGAAAAAAATACATGTTTAAAAGGAGTTGTTTCCACCCAGCTTGTGAAAAGTGTGGAGGGGCGCGCGGGGAGGAACCCTGTGCTTAAAGCAGGGCTGGCGCAGAAGAAGTTGCTTTGGTGGAACAAGCATTCCAGAAAAATGCACATGCACACAAACACACACCGAAACGCCCATCGCGCTCTACTGGAGAAGGGAAATGGGCACATTTGTCTCTGTTTTGCACTCTGATTTCCGGGCTCATCGGAGCTTTTTGGGGGGGCGGGGGGTGGAGATCCATCGTAAGCAACATAAACCAGCGCTATGGGAGCGATGCGCAGCCATTGAAAAGTTCAGCTCAAGAAGTGGGGTGGGGTGGGGGTGACAATGAGCGATTTCGCCGGCACAGGAAACCAAACTGCGTAAAAAACCATAATAATACGAGTCACCGCTCGCGCTGATCGGCGTGTAGACATATATTATTCGGAGATCAAAAGAGGCGCGCTGCAAAAGGGAGAGGGATTCCCTCTGCCCTCAGACTCCTTCCTTTCAACTTCGGCGTGTTGTCCTCCCCATCTTTGAAGGGGGGCTGTGAGCAGAGAGGGAGGGCGAGAGAGAAACGAGCCGGGTCTCTGTTAGCTCATCCTCGCCAGGGAATTCTCGGCGCTTCGAGCCCGTCTCTTCCCGCTTCCTCTGTAACCTCACCAGCAACGCGCAACTGTAAAAACAGACAAGAGACGAGCTATCTGTCAAGATTCATGGACTCCTTCGAGCGAAGGAACTTAGGCAAGTAATAAATAGCGCCGCTGACCTCCCTTTGGCCTCAGCCAGTGCCGAAGTATGCATTATGAGATCCCAGGGCAGGCCTGCCATTGGGCTGCAGCGCCTTGGCAATCCCAAGATGTGGACCAATGAAAAATGAAAGGGAGCCGGGAGAAACTTTAATTAATGCGCGTCTTGCTCCGGGAGTTCAGCGCGGCGGGGGCAGCGAGGGCGAAAGGGGGCTCGCTCGCATTCACAGCCAGATCCGCTCGGTGGGAAGGCGCTCTCTAACCCTGAAGGACTGAAGAGAAAGGGGCCTTCGGCTGCAGCCCTAAACCCACGCAAATCTTTGAAAGAAAGACCCATGGAAATCAATGGATCTCACTCCATTGTCTGGAGTGCAGCCAACAGGAGCAGTTAATCCTCTGTACCCACTTACCTGGAAGTAAGACTCCACCGAGCAAATTTGAGTTTGCTTTTGTGTAGACGCGAATAGATCTTAGTACAGTATACTTATTTGGGAGTAAGTGCCATCGAATAAAGATGATTAGGATAGGGCAGTAAGATAAAGATCATTATTTCAGGAGCAAATGTCTGAAACTAATGTAGAACACAGGGGAGAGAGGAACGAGCCAAATTCATTGAAAGAGAAATGCACAGCATCATATTCCAGCTGATTTTAAGTGGACAGTTGCGTGAATCGATTGAAAACAATGGCTCTTGTTACAAAGGAAATGTATTTAAAGAATGGGGGAGCCTGTCCAACTAAGACAAATGAGAATAAATGCCCCCCTTTGTAAAATATGTATTAATGTTCTTAACCGCCAAAGGGCACAATTCATGGAAAGCCGGGCTATACATTATATACCAGTATGTATATATATATATATATATATATACACACACACACACACACAAACTTCGACTTAACCAGATTGTGAATCAGAAACTAACATAGATAAGTTAAGCGTTTGTTAACAATATATATTTTAAATCAGAAACTTCTTTCTGAAATTTTAAGAGTAGTCTAAAGTTTCCTGTCCTCAGACTTCTTAGTCTCAAGTAAATGCGCTCTAGCAGTTCTTTCGGAGAGAAAATATTACCTGATTATGAGAATGAGCGTGTGCCTAAGGAAGAAGGCAAATAGTCGGACCCACTGGATCTCCACCTCCAGCCCCCCCCCCCGCCCCCATCTCGGCTGGGAAGTTCACCCGGGCCTAGTCTTGCAAACACAGTGAGGGCGTAATACCCTTTGTTTTGGGGATGCTTATGGGAATCTGCCCAATATGAAAAGAAAAGAAAACATATTTTCCTTCCTGCATTTGACAGATCCCAGCCAACAGTGAAGAAGTCTTTTGCTCTGTTGCTGTGTGGTCTCAGGATATGACCGCTATTGCTTTTGGGTGTCCAACTCATAGCCTGTGTTGTAAATTTATTGTGCTGGATTATTAATTTAAAAAATAAAAAAGACTTTATGTATCCTTCCTCGGGACTAAGCCCTACTGAGTGCAGTGGGGGCTGCACGTGCAGACGCTTGGTCTGTCTGAGTTCCTTTGCTGGATCAGACCAAAGGCCCTCCCATTTCCATCCGGGGTCATGGCGCCGTTCCTGCTAAGAAATGGGGCCAGACAATGGAGGGGTAGCCGTTTTCTGTGGCTAGATCCCAGGCGTACCATAGCTCAAACTACCGGGGGCCCTTTGGGGCCTGGTGGATAGATGAGTCTATCGGTCTGCAGTCCTATTCCCACTTGGCTGAGAGCAAACCCCGCACAATGCCACTTACTTCTGAGTAAGCATACGGAGGCTTCCGCTGGAGAACTTTTTCAAGCTATCTTAAGCCTCCCTGCTAGCACCGCGCCTCCTGGCAGTTATAAATGCCTTAAGATGATTGTTCTCTTTTGCGGGGGTGGGGGTGAAAGAAGTAGGGGGCTGATTAGGCTGTTGGGAGTGTGTGGTCCTCCCTCTAGAAGACAGACCGTGGATCCTTTACTTTTAAAACCCCCCCACAGAGAGCAAATTCCATAAAACCAGTGGGACTTACTTAGTTCCAAGACCCAAGATTATTATGCACGTTTACTCGGAAGTCAGCCCCAGTGACTTAAATGGGGCTCCTTCCCAAATAGGCTTGCATAGGTTGCGCTGTGCTATGTATCCGGCCCTCTTCTTCCTCGCCCAACTTATAAATATATGGCACTCTCTCGTTCTGGGTTCCTTCCTAGCTTCATGCGCTGCTAATGGTTTCACTCCCATACCAGCAACTCATCCGGAGTCCTGGCTCCCTCTTCACCCTCTCCGGTGCCAACTTTGCGCAGCAGCAGCAGCAACAGCAGCAGCATCTCAGCCAAATCACTCTCCTCCTCCTTGTTCGGTGGTAGGAGGCAAAAAAAAAATCCCCAGCTTTTGTGGAGTTTGCTCTATTATTTTACCGTAAATCTTGGGCAATCCTGGAACTAATTATCGAGAGGATATGTCTCAATTTGTTCTGCATTAATGCCACGTTGGGAATGGAGTCGGGGCCACAGCCAGAGCAGACACTCGAGCACATGAAATTGATGAACTGAGACTTGCTCCGAGTCTTGAACACACCATCTGGAATTCCAGTCTGAGGTTACAATTAGAAGTTCTGACCCCAGATTCAACTTTGGGGAAGAACAAGAGGAGGGGAGAGAAAGAAAGAAAGACAAGGGGAGAGGGGTCTCGAGAGAGATAAACAGGGGAGGGGGGGACCAAGTTGCTTTCTCTGCACCTGTAGGAAACACAGTGCTCCTAATCTCTTCTCCCAGAACATTATTCCTCTCCAAACTATTTCGAAATGATCCTATGAAGAACTTGTCTGCCGGGCGGAGGGTATTTATACTGTCATAACTTTCCCAACCAGAAGAAAGATTTTGGCTGCAAATTCTGAGCCCTTGACGTCAACAGATTGCCTCAGGGTGTTCTGGATTAGGAACCTTGCACTGATCCTATAACAGCAGGATATGGGTATGGGTGTGGAGTGGGGGCAGTCTTCATTAGGTCAGGTGACTGGGATCCACAAACCTCTTAAGCTGGTCCACTTCCATTTGAGCGGCCTGCTGCATCTGGGGCTATACCAGTTTCATAAACCAATTAATCCTGTACCTGGGTTTATGACTCACTACTGGGGTTTCATTGAACTGGAGTGGATTCCTCTCACTCCCCTATCTGGAAGCAAGCTCTGTACCAAATGAAAGCCCAGATCTGAACCTGTTTTTCTAGGGGGACACACACCTCTAAACATTTTGTGAATCTTTGTACTTTTGTCCATTTGTTTCCCCCAATTTGAACTATAAAATGGTGATTTTCTTGAGTCACAATGAGAGTACCCCTAAACATTTTTTAAAAGAAAAAAAGCACTAATCCTACCTAATAGAAAAGTAAAACCCGTTGAACTGGGGGTGGGTATAGGATTGTGCAACACAATCCTATATCCATGTTTGCTTGGGAGGTAACCTGTGTTTCGATGCAGACTATGTTTTGATTGCAACCTTGGTTCCAAGTAAACATGCATAGGATGGGGCTGCGCTTGGGTTCAGAATGGAGATTAGACTCAACTAACTTGGAATTATGCTTAAAATCACAATGTTCTTTAAGTCCCATAATGATTTCCAGCTCTATTTCTAGATAGAGAGGATCGCAGCTGTCTGAAATTGCTCGAGCTGATTTTCAGAGATTGGTCTGTTAACCGGTTTAGGTCCACACGTTACTACTTCCTGCATTTGTGAATTGCACTCTTTCTTCCAGTTTTCTAGAGCATCTCCCCCCTTTCTCTGCCTCCCTGCCCCCCACAAGCGATGTCTCACCTTGCACCAAGTTTCATTTTAAATGAAGTACGAGGGTACTACAGGGGTCTTGTTAAATTTATTAGCATATTGCTAGGGCAAAACTGAACATAAATCACCAGGCTGCATAAGGCCATAAAATATCCCTCTACAGCTAGTTCCAGCCAAGATTCTGGTGAATAAGAGTTCATATAGGAGTAGGTATCGGTAACATCTTTCAGATCTATGTGACGTTTTAAACATCTCAGACACACAATAGGATCTATGGCAAGATTAGCTGGGGCTGCTCAGAAAGCGTAGCCGTGGTTAAGTCTTCTCAAATATACAAGAAAAATAAAAGTGAGTTTAAAACCTTTCCTGTTCAATTTCATAATTTATATTAACCCTTTTCTCTGTAGATTGATGGAAAAGGGGGCAGACCTCATGACTCTCCACATTTGCTACTTCAGGGGTCTTGAATAGGGTTCTACCACGTCCAGAATTTCCTGGACATACCCAGAATACTGCAGTCCGAAGCAGTGTCGGGGCGGAAATCGGCGAAATGTCCAGGAAAATCTGGACATATGGCAACACATGTTAGCAGTGTCATTTTTGCCACTTTTCCTGAAAAATAGCTCAAAAAGTCACTTTTGTTTGTGATTTTGCCAAAAATGCTTCTTGCCAAGAAAAGCTCAACAACACTTCTGTCCGGATTTTCACTTTTTTAATTGAGGTAACCCTAATCTTGAATCCTAAATGCATTATTTTAAAAATAAAAGTCCTGTTGAATACAAGGAGGAAGGATCATTAGGCCAACCAGCTGTTGGCTTTTAAAAAGTAGTTCTAAGCCATTTTCAGAGATGGAAACAGAAAAGGTTGTCATGCTGATCCCATATGCATCAAGATACACATTAATTGGCCCTCTGCATTACTCCCTTATTGGCATTTAGATATGGAACATACTGCACTGAAATCAACAAACTTTCCTTCCAAGGAAACAAACACAGTGAATGTCAATTGCTATGAAGGCTGAGAAAAGGCAAAGGTTTATTGTGCTGAGAGTTTATTCTGCTGAAGTAAGTCCTTGCCTTTGTTGCCAGAGATTGCTGTTTTTGGCCACAGTGGACTAACTCAGTGACATTGCTATACCAGCAGTGCTTAGTAACAATTATCTGTGTCTATGCAGAAATAAGCCTTGTTTAGTTCAATGGGATTTACTCCCAGGTCAGTTAATTGGATTATGCCCAGTTTACAGTGGTACCTCGGGTGACAAACACCTTGGGTTACAAACACTTCGGGTTGCAGACTCCGCTAACCCGGAAGTAATACCTTGAGTTAAGAACTTTACCTCAGGATGAGAACAGAAATTGTGCGCTGGCGTCAGCGGAAGACCCCATTAGCTAAAGTGGTACCTCAGGTTTCAGGTTAAGAATGGACCTCCAGAATGAATTAAGTTCGTAACCAGAGGTACCACTGTATTCAATTTGCTTTCAGCATAGAATAAGAACTGTAGAGTTGGAAGGGACCCTGAGGATCATCTAGTCCAACCCCCTTCAATGCAGGAATATGCAGCTGTCCTATATGGAGATTGAACCATGGTGTTATCAGCACCAGGCTCTAACCAACTGAGCTATCCAGGCTCAGATAAAGCAATACATACTGAAAAATATTATGAAGTATTTAATTATACGGAACGTTAGGTTACATCACCAGGATTCAAGCCTGTGTGTTCAGAAATACAATTTAAAGTTCCAAAACTAACAGGAAAGGGTTCCCATTGGAAGGGGGGGGGTAAAGCACACATCTCTACTGAATCAATAAGTGTGTTTAGAAAGAAGTACAGTATGCGAGATGTTTCGATGAGTCGGTGCCAGTCATTGGTAAGACACAGAGAGACAATTTGATGAGTCAATGTAAGTCATTTGTAACATCTCTGAGACGGAAGAGAAGTCAAGGCCATGTTTACTGTAGCAAAGCTCTAGTGCAAACAGTTAAGAAGGATGAAATGTTCTACATTTCCGGCACCCACCCCAATTAAGCACCAGTGCTGAGGACAGACTATGACTTCATGTTTCTACTTTTTAAATTGCCAGAAGAAATAATGGTTGTCAGCGATACAAGGAGATTCTTTTGGTCACTCGACCCTTGAGTATCCCAGGAGCCGGTGTATACAGCTATATTCCCTTCAATAGCACAACACCCATTGGCTTGCTCCTTTTGTGGCCGCTTGTCCCAAAACTCATTTCAACATAAACTAGGATCATATTTCAAATGTCAGGATAGCAGTACATATTTTATTGCCCAAGCTGTAAAAGACTGTAATTCACTGTCAAAGCATGACAAATAATTAAAATACCTATTTCAGATCCCATGTTATTCCTTCTCAGAAGCAGCCAAATCTGTGTCTAGCTCACAGCTTATTTGCTCTGAGTGGGGGTTGTTTTTAACAATTAATGCTGCAATCCTATACCCACTTACCTGGAAGTTTGCCCATTGAACGCAAGTTGACATGAATGGGGGCGTGTTTGCAAATTGGTCCTATGCACCAGGAAAGCATGACAATAGCCCTTAGGCTGATTCCATAACTCATATTTGCTAAGAATTTACAACATGCTCTATATGAGGAAATGATATTCTCTTTTGTATGTACTAAACCCCACATTAATCTCCTAAACAGATTAGCAGATTAGCACCCTCCATCATGCACCACAGTTCTTGAAGATCCTCTCTCCCCCCAATTTATGGCAAGAAAAGTCCTTCCATTAGGCAACTGCTGAAGTAGCAATTACAAGTTCCATCTTAAATTGCAGCCAAGACTTTGTAAAACAGTGAGTTTCTTTGTTCACAGGACTGTCCTAGGGAGACGATTTTACACATCTAATATTTTACAACTTAATTCCTGTGACTGAAGCTCTTTCATAATGATAATTAAGAAATACAGACCTTGGATAAAATCCAACTCCGATCATACCTTATTTGGCAGCTTGTACTGAAATTCCATTTGGGCAAAAATGTGTGTGTGTATGTTTTCAAACTGTAAAAGCACTTTCCCTTCTATACACATGATATCTCATATACCTACCCACCTATCAAAACTTGAGCTCTCTAAGCTGCCTTTTGCTATAGTCAACCTTTCCCAGGCCACACTGACAGACCTTATGCCACCCCTTGCCCCAGCAAGCAAACTGCTTCTTACTGCTGTTATTTGAATATGTGGACAATATAGGTAACTAGTTTCTTATAATTTTCCAGACAGGCAAAGAATATGAAACATAACAAGTTTCTAATTTATCTTTATGTAGCAGTAGAATAAAAACAAGCAAACCCTATTTCTATTTTATTCTATCATTTATTTCTCTCTCTCTCTCTCTCTCTCTCTCTCTCTCTCTCTTTCTCTCTATCAGTATTATTGTTCTTCATCAGCACACAGGAAGTTGGTAGTCATTGTATTCAATATCAGCAGAGATGAATCTGGGAGAATTCACCCTGCTCAGAGTGAATGGCTGTCTAGAAGCCTGAACAGGACCATACCTTTTTGAAGGAAGAATAATGCACTGCAAAAACTTTGTTGAAGATCCCACTACTACTGCTGTTGCTGCTGCTACCACTACTACTCTGTTACCCACTTTGCAGAAATGTAATATTCTGTCTGTTCAAATTAACTCAGTGGTTAAACAGCTGACTCTTAATTAAATCTGAGTTTAAAGTGCTCTAATACACAGGGAAATACAGACCTTGAAGAGCATATTTGTATCTGTCATCCAGAATGCATCAGTCATGGAAATGCAGTCAAGGGGTCTTAACACCAGTCTCCTACACCAAGTGGGCTAATTCCCTATGATCCCGGATCCACAATCATTAAAAAGTGGAAAAGAGCGACCAGGCCATGCAGGTCAAGCCCCACATGGCAATGCAGGATTGTTCCCTATGGCACACATTTCAACTCTTTGTCAAATTGAATGTTATGTTTCCCACACTGTGGGACTTCCATCATGTTCCTGAAGAAATGAATTCATAATCTAACAGATCTTCTCCTTACTCAAGTTCCTTCCGTTCCTTAATTGCCTCCATTATTCATTATCCCTTCATGCAATAACTCTACGTTGTGGGTTGTTGTTTTTTAAGTCTCCATCATGCAGGATTGGCCTTGGCACTTAAGGCATTTAACTCTGATCAGCAAGACCAAGGTAGTGGAGTACCCAAAGCATGATCCCAGTTCATACAATTGTATTTCTTCCTTATACTCTCAGGCAACCCACATCCCAATCTCCCTCATGGCCACAGGAGCAGGGGACATGGTGAGCCTGGCAGGGGTTCAGAACTGCTACAAAAGCTGCATCTGAGGCTATCTTTGGAGGATAGAGAAGTTGGGCTGAGAGCCAGGAAGAGGTGGATTCTCCAGCTTCCATATCAGCTCCCTGTCTAGAGCAGCTTCCTTACTGAACTAACAGCTCTTTACCAAATTTTAGCCTTCTTGGCCCAGGGAAAACAGACAGGACTAGAGGAAGAACTCATGAATTATAAGCACCTAAGTGCCTCCATTATTACTGATCTCAGAAGTTCCTGTCCCTGTCCTGTTGCATCCATTTTACATGGATGGAAGGAAAGATAGGTGTCAAACAAATTGCACTTCTTAAACAAATGCTGGGAAACACCCTCTCTTATCACCTCCTGGTCAACTTTCACCATGAGAAGTAGGAGTCGCAAGAGGTCAAGAAAGGGGTTAAGGAAAGGACAGCTGGGCCATGAGAAATAAGTTGCGGGAAGATAAGGAGATGAGCACTAGAGATGCCGGAACCAAGGCCTTTCCCCAAGAGAAGATTTAGGATGCAAAGGTCCTTCATGAAGTGGACTCTTGTCCAGGAACATTTCTGCTATAATAAGTTGGTTCATCTTTAAGGACATTTTTGCTGCAATTGGCTAACACCAAGGGCCTTCTCAGTGGCTGCTCCTGGACTTTGGAACTCCCTGTCTAGAGAAGCTAGACTTGTTCCCTCCCTCCTTCTTGTCCTTCCTCCGGCAGCTGAAGACTTTTCTGTTTCTACAGGCTTTGGGGATTGTTTTTAATGAAAAGGCTAATGCCATGCTGTTTTTATTGTAATTATTTGTATGGTTTTAATAGATTTTATATATGTACATAGTTTTAATTCTATCAATCTTTAATTGTTTTGTTTTTTCTATGTTTTTAGCAGTTCTTATTTTTAGCATAAGCCGCCTTGAGTCCTTTTAGGGGGAAATGTGAGGCACAAACAAACACAGCTACACCGTTGGAAATTATGTCTGATTTGTGTCATCACTTTTCAGCACTGGTCTGAAGAGAATGTGGGAAGCTGTTCTGCAACAAGAAACAAACTAACATACTGCACATGGAGATCAATTAGCTAAAATTCACCTAACTCTGTGTTGGGTTATGGGCAAAGGTTCTCATTCTGTCATCAAAATGTGCATACCTGGGCAGATTCACCTGGGCACACACTGTATCTCCCCTGAACATTAACATTCAATATTGAAGAAAGAACTTGAAGGACTGCTTCATTCTTTCTGAACTTCCTTGATAGCTCTGTTCATTTGCTCATCCTTGATTTCAAAGGATATATTTCCTTGTGCTCCCTTCCAATCCAATCCTAGCTGTTTATTACTGGTGATCCCTGTACTGCCCCAGTACCTGAAGATCTCTGGGCAGCTTACACATACATTCTTAAAACATAAACAGTAAAAATACATCGTAGCAGAGATAGATCAATAAAATCAGGCAGGTCTTAATACTTGAACAAAACTGTTTTGTTTGTTGTTGTTGTTTTTAAAAAAAACCAACCCTATTGATCTGATCTGCATTTTGATAATTTTAGGATGGCTACTGTTTTTAACATCTGTACTGTATATAATACTAGCATTAATGAATATTTTTTTCCAATTTTTTGGTAAGCCACTTAGGACCCAAAAGCATTGCATAGATCTTAAAGGTTTCACGCCCTTGCAGAACGTTAGCCTGTTGGCAGGGGGTCAGAGGGTTTGGCCAGCTAGCCCCACGCATGAAGAGTAAGAACTCTGGCACAGCTTCAAGTGGTTCCCAGGGGCAAAGCCTATTTATCTGGAGGCTGTTTGAGGTGGGTTGCTGCTGGTAGGCTGGCCTCAGTGGGCAAGAGGGTGACATCAAGGGGCCTTCTCCCCTTTGTGTCTCTCCTTCAGGGCACTCTCTAATGGAAAAAGCTGCATCTGTGATGACAGCATGAATGCATCTCACAAATGTGATTGGTGGGTATTTGGCGATGGTGCTATTTTACCCTGTTTTGGTTGATTTATTGTGTTTATTGTACTTTCATTCTCTCTCTCGTTAGCATTAATGTGTTACTCACTGCTTTGGGAATCTTTGGGCCAAAAAGTGGTATATAAATAAATCATAACCTAACAGTGGCTGTGGATTTCTGCCATTTATTTTATTAGACATTAGAACCCTAAAATGTTTTTAAAGTCTTTTAGGGTGAGTGTTGCACAATGGGAATACATACCAACATTTAACAAAAGCCACACTGCAAAATGTAAAAACAAAAAAAGGACTTCCCCCCCTTTTAGCTCTTCTCCCCAAGGAGCGAAAAGGCATTTTCTACATGTCTAAGGAGACATTAAAAATAATTACGTG